ATGAACACGCAAGCGGGTATTTGAAAGGGGTAACTGTTACAGTCATTGTAATGATCTTTTTATTTTTATGCGACACTTTGTTGTACATGTGCTTGTATCAAGCTTCAACTTCAAGGATTTTTCTTTTGTCTTTTACTTTTAGTTTTTCTACAAACACAACTGTCTTAGTCTTAGTCTTAGTAGTCAAATGATGATGAACTTTTTAAGGACTCAACTTACACTTCTGTAAGTCTTAAGGTCAAACTGTCACTATCAAGACAGAAAATCAAATTTTATTTTCTTCAGTAAAAATTACTAAAAAGCCTTGTGACAGACTTGAACATAGGTCTATTTAGAAAATGAAACTTGAGGAATTTATGATTGTTCATAAAACGGTTATCCTCTGGGAATTTAGGAGGACTCAAGAATCCTCTGGTGCAGCCTATGATGAACTATGAATACTGGTGGGAGGAGATAAAACAAAATCAAGAAAGCACTTGACCAGGAATGCCACTATCTATCCCCATGATTTTATGCACCCCGCATAATTTAGCAACATTTGATCATTTTTTGTATAATTTCTGATTATTTTCCTACTTTACCATTCTTTGTTAAAATTAAGAGAATCGCATAATTTCACATTTTTGGGCTCAGTTTGCGTAAATTTCAGATTTTTTTTGTGCATAAGACCGCGGGGAAAGCACTAGTATTCACTATGGTTTTGTGAAAAAACCTGAGTGAAAATGTATCAATTTCAATTAGAAACAAATAGTCAGGTAATAGACACAGCTATATACTATATGAGGTTCAACTGAAAGCCTATCGACTGCTTAGTGCATTGCTCTGCCGTACTCAATTTTGAAAAGTGATATTCGTCGCGTCGCCTACAATCCGTTTGGGTACTTTTTACGTCAAAGTCAAAGACAAAAAAACCCACTAGTTTTTATTGTGTTGTTCAGTTGTTCCTATCAAGAATCATGAAAGGCAAGAAAATTGTAAGCCTTGACCATAGCATTAACCCTATCCTTACACCCTTTGTCTTCTTCACATTTTAGAATACTTCTAGTACGAAAATCTCTTTGAAACTTTCAGTATTATTTCTGAATTTCTCAAAAAAATCATTTTGATTGACTGCTATGCCGAGAGTGCGGTTCGGATTAACAAATGAATTTCCTCTTTGGAAAGTGGTGGCACAGAGTTCCCCACGTCGTATGGATACGGTAGTAAAACACCACATACGGATAGGGTTAAACTGCATTTTAATGATGTTGAAATTGAAATTTGCATCTTTGTTGATAGTAGGCCTATATATATAATGATAGAGCTTTGAGAATAGGTGTAAAAATTGAAAATTGTCCAAAGTTAGACTTGAATGGATTACTTGTGACAGCGACGATAATATAGGATGGGAGTCTTCTTACACTACGCTGAGCAGTTGAAAAGCTATCTAAGAATAGTAACCATTCTTCTTGTGAAAACAACAGCAAAACTGCATCTCTTCTTGATGAACCGTCTTGGGTGGATGTCCATCACTTGTTTGTTCACATCACACACAACTCAGACAGGATAAGCAGCACGAAGATTGTAGAGATTTAATTTCAATGTTTTAAGTTTTAGCTGTCCCCGCGGTTTTATGCCAAAAAAAATTATGAGTGCAAACTGAGCCCAAAAATGTGAAATCATGCGATGATGTTAATTTTAACAAAGAATGATAAAGTAGTAAAATAATCAGAAATTATGCAAAAAATGATCAAATTATGCTAAATTATGCGGGGTGCATAAAACTATGGGGACAGTTAGATTTAGTTGTTTTTTAGTTTTTAATTTTAGTGTGGGCTCCAGCACATTATATCACTCTATTTCCTCACATGCTTTGTGGAAAAAGTGCTTTAATTTTGTTGTGCCATGATGGTCACATATTTATTTTCATTGTCCTCCACTTTGTCATTTTTAGCCTCTTATGATCCCCCCCCCCCCACCCCTTTGCCCCCACTATGTATATGTTGAGAACATTTTAACTGTAAACCTCAAGATTTTTTCGACAATAAAGGATACAAACAAAATTTCTTTGATTTCAGTCTTCACATTTTTAAGATGTGGTACAGATCTACGTCATGTTAATTAATTCATATAGTCACTGTAGCAAGAAAAATAATGATCTCCATTTTGACCCTCAAGTCAAGCAAAAAAAAAAAGGACTTTATTTCTTGCAACACTTTTAAGGACAAGCGGGCTAACCCAGATTTCGGGGGTATCTAGAAATTTTGATCTACACCAAAAGTGGGCATTGCCCTACCTATAGAAGTTTGGTTTCATTGGTGTGTATATTTGTTTGGTTATAAGTTTAAAAATAGAGAAAACTCTCCTTGTCTTTTTATTTTAAAGAAACTGAACAAGGGGCAAAAACTTTATCCTCAATTTTCTTAAATCAGCATTTTTTGGGATAGCCCCCTTGTGCTTGAAAGCGACCATATTATTGTTGAAGAAAGATAAGCAACTCCACCAATAACTATTGTTTTCGTGGGGCTTCTCGTCATCTAGAGTAGAGGTGCGGTGTTCGCCTCTCAATAGGTCCTGGGTTCGAAACAGAAAAATGTTCATCTCTTAAAAAGGCAAAAAATCCTTTCACCTCCTTTCATGCTCTCCGTAACCATGTTCTGTTCTCTGCTTTTGTCTCCACTTTTTACCCCCTCTTCTGGGCTCTCGACTCTTTCTGCTGCCTTTCTACATTGTACATAATATGTACTTCTACTGCTACTCGTTGACTCCTTACCCTCCTTACCGTTGTCTTTCAGTCACATCCCTGATCTTAGTATTCTTAAATTCTTAAGGTAGGTAAGATCGAACACCTAGCCTTCTCAGATAAGGGTGAAAAAATATTGGAGGTTCTGTACTGTACATTAAAGATCCCTTGGTGGTCCAAAAATCGAAAAAAAGAGTAGGGTTCGGCCCCCACCATGGCAAAATTCAAAATTAATTCCTGAAAAACTTAAAATGTTTCATGATAATGCGACCCACGCGCTCATAATCATTTAACTTATAACCTTGCGAGCACAACAAACACTCACCAAATTTTTAGTAGATAAAAATATTGTTCTGCTCTGTCAAAGTGTCCAATGAGATTACTCAACTATTTATAATAATACTCATACTCATAGCAATGGTGTTAGTGTTATGCTTATACCCATGCAAGTTTAAGAAATACGTCAGCTTCCTTTTGGTTGTAAAAACATTGCAAGGGTTGAAAATTAATAATAGTATTGATGAAGTACTGTCGACTAACTTCATTGTTTAAAAAAGAGGGACTCTTCCCCCCTGAAGGTAAATGTTCAAGACACTAGTTAGTCCACTCTGCTTGTGTTGATCTCTCGTTTTGTTCATCTTATTATTCTCGGGTGCCAGCACTTCTTCTTTACACTGAAAATTTACAGCACAGGTCCCAACGGTTAAGTTGAACTTGGGAGGAGTTGATTTTTTTTCACTCCCCCCCACATCAACTCATCATCCATACATACAATAATACTCAAATGGTAGCATTTACTTTTATTAAGGACAAGCGGGCTAACCCAGATTTCGGGGGTCTCCAGAAATCTTGACCTACACCAAAAGTTAACATTGCCCTATCAATAGAAGTTTGGTTTCATTGGTGTGTATGTTTTGCTTGGTTATAGAGAAAACTGTCTTTTAAATGAAACTGAACAGGGGGCAAAAATTTTACCTTTGATTTTCTCAAAACAGCAGCTTTTGGGATAGCCCCCTTGAGTTTAAAAGCGACCACATGTAAATGGTATGGTAGTAAGAAAGTTCACTATCAACATAAGCGTTACGTAACCCTAACAACAGTGTGTTGTTCCCATCAGTCTTGCTTATGGTAAGTAGGCCTACTAAGTACTGGGTGTATAAAAAATTTTTTTTAAAATGTGCGTTTCTGAGCCTCCACAATACGCTACCTTAGAAAATTACAAGTTTTATTTGACTTTTGGACGGTTTCGAGTTACTAAACCATGAGGTCAGACACCAAATGTTCTATCTGCTCTTAGTATCAAAATCATAAAAAATAAAAAATACTTTGGGAGTCGTTTATCCAGATATAAAAATAAATAACATTTGTAAAAGCTTCACATAGTGAAACAAAATTTTTTTCGGCAAATTTCTCATAACTAGGTACTGAGCAGATAGAACTTTGTCATTTTAGGGTTGCGAATAGAGGTCGTGGCTGCAATAGTAAAATAACTTTGCACTATCACTAACAAATAAGTCAGAAATATTGGATCAAGTTTTAACCCTATGCGTACGCCCTAGGGTCATTTTGCACCCCCGAGGTTGTACTCTTCACATTTTAGAATACTTCCAGTACGAAGATCTCTTTGGAACTTTCAGTAGGCTATTTCTCAAAAAATCATTTTGACAGACTGCTATGCAAAGCGTACGGATCGGATTAACGAGTAAATTTCCTCTTTGGAAAGTGGTGGCACAGAGTTCCCCACGTCATATGGATACGATAGTAAACAAGGCCTACGGATAGGGTTTAGGGATATCTGAATAATACCACTGGTCTAGTGTCCATCTGGGTAGACTTTTCCAACAATTTAGATCATTTAGGAGGTGGGCTGCTTACTGCCTCAACCTTATGTGCTGACTTGACTCGAGCTTACCAAAGTTTTGTGAAAAAAGATCCTCGTGCATAATCCGAGAAATCATCATCACCATGTCTTTCCCATCCTGGAACAGGGTATAGGCTAAAGAAAAACACTTTCCCCATTTCCTGAGCCAGCCTAGCCTCTTGATATTGTTCCACGTCCGTGTCAATTTTTCTGTACTGCTAGTATCCTTTAACTACTTGAGTTGAGATCCAAAAAAATACTAAAATTATTTGAAAAAGAACTTGAGTCGACTAGACATCTTTTGCCATTAGGTCCAATCAGCAGATCAAGATCTTATATTATAGTTGTAAATTCGTGTAAGAAGACACGAGTGTTGCGTCGTCGTCGTCCACTTTCACCAAAGCCAAACACAGCAAATTATGACTTAGATTTTATTTTAAGAAAAATAAAAATGTGGCACAAAACACTTTCTCATAAAACTCATCTCTCTCTAAAGTCACATGTGAGCTCACCACAAGCAAGGAATAACATAGACCATTACCCTACAGAGTATTCAAAAACTTTCAGCTAGATTACCTACTGGGATAGTGTGATCAGCTGAATGTTTGCAAAGAGAAGTAAAAACTGAAGGAAGTACGTACTGAAACAGTAACTCTAAAGTAAAGTAAGGAAGGGAAAAGTAAGTACTTGAGACATGACCGCCTGTTGTGAAATCTGCACCAGTCAAAATTAAAGTAAGCTTTGACTGTGCTGCAGTAATTACTTTGCTAAGACTTGACATTCATGCTGACAGCACAGTGGTGTCTGTGAATTTCTTTCCCCAGCTTTAGCTTCAAATCATTCACTACAACTATTACAATCCTTGAGGGGACTTTCTCCCTTCAAACATGAAAAAGCTGGGTCACAACGGGGTCACTGCTTTTCTCAGGCATCAAAAAGAAATGTGTATGCATGACTTTACAACACAAAAAAAGCTAAATAACCGTTAAAACTTTCAAGAGGCAGTAGAATATAACTAGAAAATGTAACCACAGTCCAGAGCTTGCAACTTCTTTTGATATCTCTCCCCCACCCCCCTCCCAATTCCTAATTATAAAAACCAAAACTACAAAATGGTACTGCATGCGATAGATATCATGTACTGAAAGAGTGGCTACGTCGTCTGCTTCTAAAAATTAGAAGTAAATTCTGAAAAGAAGGTCACACATAGTAAGATGAATTCAACTTTTTATTCATTACATAAAAGATGGTTTGAACAGGAGAGGAGAAATGGATCATGCTCGTGTGGTCCCATCCTCCCCGTGCACAGCAATGGCAGCACACGACAACAACCCCAGGGCCTAGATAGATAGAGCAAGAGAGAGAGAGACAGAGAGAGAGAGAGAACGTCAGCTCGTCGTCAATTCCACTAGAAAGAGAAAAAGAGAAGCTTATGCAATATTTGACAATACCCATTAGGAAAATCAAATTAAAGAAGAAAAAAAAAGAAACAAAAAACAAATTTTTAAGAAAACAAGAGAGAAAAAGAGGAAAAAAACCCAACCAATTTTACGACAAAAATCAAATGACACTTGGTACAAGAGCTCTGGAGAAGACATATGTAAGTACTGTTCAACAAGGAAAGACAACAGATAGCTGAACATTTTTTCAAACGTGTTGGAAGAAAGAGGAGAAGGGGGTGGCGGGCGGGCGCGTGGCCAGATAGGCAGGAAAGGTGGTGGTGGTGGTGGTACAATTTGGAAATCTACACAACAGTTTCAGTATGGTAATACAGAAAAAAGTTTTACAAAGCTACACAACAAAAGAGAAGAAAAAAAAAGATTTAAAAATTGACTCAGATCTATAGATATAATAATGGAACAACCAATAGAGAGAGGCCCCCAACCACACGTGTGCCCGTGTCCGTTCTGTGTCACTTGGAAAGACAGGACCACAACAGAATCACACACACCACAGTTTGATTTAGAGAGAAAGTTTCTTTTGTTTTCCCCATTCACACACGCAGGCACGCACGCACGGCAGGCAGGCAGACCCACAAGTAACCAGTCTACACAACACACACACACATAACAATACCAGTATGGTAAACACACAGGAATACTCAAAAATGATTCAGTTGACAGGAGCTGCTCAAAAACGCTAACTGACGACGATGTCCCCTCTGTCGAGTATAAAAAGGCTTTTCCCATCATGGACATTAGTTAAATAAAGAGATCCATCAGTCACAAGACAAAATGCAAGAGTATAATAAGGAATTTAAGTATGGAACAATTAATGGCATCAACTCATTATTACTTAAGGCAATTGAAGAAATGGATCTGAGACTGCAGTTTCCAAAAGGGAATGTAATGATTTGGTGACCTATAGAGACACCTAGAGTGTCCTTTTGTGAGTTTCTTTGGGATGCAAAAACAATTAACCTAAACCGGATTAATTCAAATTTTTTTTTTTTAAAGAAAAAAAAAAAAAGAAAGGAAAAGGAGGATTAAACCCAAACAGGAAAAAATGCCAACAAAGTAATGAGCAATGACCAACAAACGAAATCTGAACTTGAAAAAAAAAATTATTATAATACATGCTCATTGTACTATTTGCATAGACTTTTTTTTTTTCCTTCTCTGATGCAACGAGAGACATCACTTCTTGGGTGCTGTGCAAGGAACACAGAGACCAGTTACTTGTTAACGTTTCAGAACTTGGTGAGGGAGGGGGGAATTTTTCCACTAGCCAACAACAGCTTGATCATCAGATTGTACAAAAAACAAAAAAAACATGGGCCTGTGAGAAAGGCAAGCTTGCCCCCACCATCTCCTGCAGCCATGTCAATGTGAGACAGTCTCTACTCGCTCGATCAAACAGAGGAGGAGGGGGGTCAGACAAACAACCTATGTGTGTGGCACCATGCCGCGGGATCAGGCCCTCGTCAAGTTTTACGCGTATACAGTTTTTTTTTTACATGTATAGCGAGTTACTAGGAATGGATACCACAATCTTAACGGGGGAAGGGGGATGATACCCATCTATCTTGAATAGAAGTCGAGCTCGAGCTACTTGTCACTGAAGTAGGTGATGGTCGCCTGGAGTCAGTGGTAAAAAATTTAGCGAGAACACGGCTGCCAAAATTCGGCGTATTTGAAAACTGAAGCGTCCTTGCTTTAATCAATGTTTTTCCCTAAAATCATTAAAGAATTGTTTTTAATTGGCAAAAAAAATTTTTTTTTTTAAATAAGGTGTTGAGCCCAAAATGATTAATTCAATAATTGTCAAACGGCCAGAAAAAAAGACCTTTCCGATTTCACAATTTTGACGAACGGCCGATTGCACCAAGATGCCACACACATAATACAGCAGCACAGTGCAGGCACCGACTACTTTTGGACCAAAATGTCTTGAGATCAGCCTGTAATCTGCTGAGAAAATTACACCACTTTTACTTGCAGATTCAAGGGAACAATTGTGGTTGAGCATTATAATATTTTCAAAACGTTGCCTCCATATTTGAACCAAAATTCAAACTTGTAAAAAAAAAAAAAATAATAATAAAAGACAAAAAAACCCTTCAGCTTGCATTTTACAAAATTGGCAGGGGACCTGAGATGGACAATGGTCAAGCATGCCCATCCACACACTCACGTACCATGGAGATATCACAACATATCCACAAAAGTCATACATACACATGTACACAATGAATTTTAAATAACGGAGACAAACACAGGATGAAAAATGTGTGACAACCTGGATGACGATGACTGTTTAACATTGTGTGAGGATGAAATTTGTAATATGATATGATAGAGGAGGGATGGGATGGGATGTGGGGGAGGGGGGGGGAATGGGGCGGCGGAAAAAGGAGTGCGTCTTTTCTTTCCAACTCTTTTTTTCTTTGCTTGCCTGGATGTCTTAAGTGTCGTGACAATTGCAGTTGTGAGAGATAAGTTTGGGGCACAACGGACTGTCAGGTCAGCCTTACATCGGGGGGGAAAAATGTTGCCCCGCGTCCAACGTCCGTCTCATAGGCTCGTCAATATATATTATGCTCTTACACAACCTGACAAAAAAAAAAAGTAAACCGAGGGGAATAATGGACCATTCCGTGAAAACCGACACCTGCATTACACGTGTTACTTTTCACAGAAAGGTCGATATATACAGGACTGCCCGCTGCTGCTGCATGTCTATGTCGGGCACAAATCTAAACAATACGTCTACAGGTGACTACACCGGCTTCAAAATGTCTACGCAAATAAATCTAAATTTAAGTCAGAAGCCAGGATGTCCTTAGGCAATTGAAAGGGGGGAGGGAAAAAAAGCTGCGAGAAATTATCAACAAATGCTCTATTCTAAACCAATAAATAAAAAAGGGGGGCGGGAAAAAAAAAAAGAAGAAGAGAAAAATAAATTAATTAAAAAATAAACCAACCCATAAAAACTAAAACTTTGTATGCATTAAAGCGTCGTTCTCAAAAGTGTCCGCAATATATATACTGTTCAAATATTTACACCATGGTAATATAAAACTGACCCAATAAGTACAGATGTGCCCTAGTGTTACGCACCAACAGCAACCAATTGAGACCGATCTCCCATCCTGTGATTTATGTACAGTTTGCAAGTTTTTTTTGTAGAGAATTGGTTACTTTGGAGCAGCCTTGAAATGAAAACATGGGCGCAAAAAAAAAAAAAAAAAAAGAGTTCCTCACTTAAGTGTAGTCGAACCATGGAAAAGAATTCTCGGTTCGACAACGCAGGTGACGAAACGCACAGGTAAGCCAACACACATTTTTTTTTTTAGTATGTGCAGTTTTTCTTTTCCTTTTTTACACACAATAAATTAAAAACTTAACCATTCAACTGGCAAATCCAACGTTCATACTCTACACAAAGGGGGAGGGAAATTAAATGGATATTTATATTATGAAACGATCTCTATTTACAGAAAATGGTGGGAGGTTGGGGGGGGTCGGAAGATGAAACTGCAAATACGAAATTGTGTATTGAGGAAAGACTGCAACCATAACTCCATGTACACACAAACAAACACACCCAGTGAAAAAAAAAATAATTAAAAAATGAATGGGCCAGCACAGAGCCAACTGAAACGACCTTAACCAGGCAGCAGAAAGGTATTATGTCATCTTGACCATCGTCAGCCATTGCCGACGGCAACTACCCCAAACCTCCTACCACCAATAGACATCACGAAGTCATGACCGTACGGTAGATTGGGGGGGGGGGCGTCTTTACGCTATGGGAGGGTGGTGGGGGATGGGGGTTGGAAAAGACACACTCCTTTTGAAAGCAGGACCACCAAAGTTGTATCATCATGTAGTAGTAGTAGTAGTAGTATCTTCCGTGAGAACCGTAGTCCGCGCCATGTGTGCTAGATGTCGAGAGGGGGACGGGGTCGGGTGGGGGGATGGGGAGGGGAGAATCGGAGGAGAGCACCTTGTGTGTCCGAGTGTCAGCGGCGGCCCTGCTGGGACATCCCGCCGCGTGGGCCCAGATTGGGAGACCCGCGCATGTCCTGTCGGCCGAATCCTCCGTTCTTCATGCCTCCGCCTCCGCCAGAGCCTCCGCGGCCGCCCGGCCCTCCACTGCCGCCGTACGGGGGGCCCGAGCGGCCCATTCCCTGGCCACCCATGTTCCCGCCTCGGGACATGCCCCCGCGACCGCCACGCATGCCGTCGTTGATCCGTGGCTTTTTCTCCTCCACGTTCAACCGGTGCTCGCCGTTGTACTTGATTCCATCATTAACCTGGGATGGGAGAGAAACAAAAAATTTTGAGTTCTGAGAACTGAGAAGGAAATCAACTTGACGCGGGAGTTAGTGTTGGGGGAGGGAGGGAGTGGGAGGGGTGTTATACAGCGTCTGCAACTGCATAAGGCCATATGAGAGCACCAGACACATTTAACATCCAGTTTTTTTTTTCGTAGGAGTTTTACAGCACTTTCAACACAATAAGGTCATATAAGTGCCAAAGAATAGATGTGTTACAAGAGAGTAACATACACAAAAAAGGAGGAGGAGAGAGGACGACAAACGATTGATAGGAAAGAAGGAGCAAACCACACCAGAGCACCCGCCAACCACCCAGTTTCATAACACGTGCGACAGCAACAGTAACAAACCAGACAACACAAGCGTGGCAACAACCAAAGAAAAGGGAATTGAGTGGCTCAGACAAAAAAAATGACGTCATTCCATCAGTCAGACGCAACTTACAACCATCACTGCCACTGAATTTCCAAAACTTCTCATTGGCACAGAACTACGTATACAATACGAGCATAACATTCCGAAACAGATACTATTTCTTATGTTGAACGATACAATGGAAAGAGAAAGAATATGAAAATCCCGTTATCCATAGAAAAAATTGCCCTGTGTCTTTTCAACACACCAGATGAACACGCAGAGTCACACCTAACAGGGTTAAAAGATGGCTTTCACAAGTAATCCTACTTGCTTTCACGGAGAGGGGATAAGACAAAAACTGGCACACATATGTTACCATACCCGCAAACAACAGGCCTCCGGAAAAGTTCCGAAGGGCAGTTGGAAATAATCACCCTTTACTTTCCTCTCTATTACGACATTGTCGATAAGACAACGAACGGAGCACAAATTGCAAAGAAACGTCGTCTTCCCATAGGAGGGGAGCAAATGGAAAAATTATTCTACTGAGAAAAAGTCCAGTCTACAGCTTCACCCCCCTTTGGTAGCTGCTCAGAACATGGTTGACGTCATTCAACAGTCAGTCGCAACTTACAAGCATCACAGCAACTACCAAATCAAATTCGTAATCCAAATATGGTGTAAGGATGACGGTTCCACAACAAAGTGCGGAAGATTAGAGGTGTTACAAAAAAGAGCAACAAACACACACCCAAAAAAAAAAAGAAAAAGGGAGAGATACGGACAATAGATGTTTGATAGGAAAGAACAGGAAAGAACTCAAGAGCACCTGCTAACCACCCACAAAAGAAGTCTGATCTATGAGAAATTCACATTAAGTTCCAAATGGCAGCTGGAAATGGTCACAACAGCAGCATATAAATTCAGAAGAAAACTGAGTAACAATATGTATACAGCACACTCCAGTGTTTTCGGTAACAAATGCAGGTTATAGATTCCATTGTGATTTTTGTCAGTGCCTTTCCTCCACACGCCCAAATATCCTTACTTTCCTTTCTATTGTAACACTGTCCATAAACATCCAGGCACAAATCACATGGGTTCATAAAACATCCGTCTTCTCAAAGAAGAAAAAGGGAGCAAAGAATAAATTACTCTTCAAGAAACAGTAGAAGCCAGTCCACAGCTTGACTTCGTTTTAGTTTTAGTAAGTGTTGGCACTTGCAACACAAAAAGGTCATATATAAGCCGAAGATTTAGAAGTGTTACTAGAGAGTAACAAACACAAAATAAAAGGAGGGGAAATAAGGATGATAGGTGTTAGGAAAGTAGGAGCAAACTACATGAGAGCACCCACTCAGCTTGACGTCCCTTTGGTAGCTGCTCAGAATAAGGTTGACGTCATTCAACAGTCAGTCGCAACTTACAGACACCACAGCAACTACCAAGACAGGACATCTACAAGGAAATCCCATTTTTTAAATTTTGGCAAGTTTTACGTACGTCACTTGCAACACAATATGGTCACTTCAGTGTCGAAGATATAAAACTTTACATAAGAGCAACAAACACACACACAAAAAAAGGATATCATGACGATAGATGTTTGATGGGAAAGAAGGAGTAATAAACCACACCAAAGCAGCCGCCAAAAATTCCCAGACAATGGGTGATGTATTCTAATGAAAATAAAGAAAACAAACTTTCATATGACTATGACCCGCTTCATAATTACAGAAACTTACCTTTATTGTCAAAATCTGTTTCACAGTTTCAGGACTTTCAAAAACCACGAATCCGAAGTTCTGTTGAGGAAACAAAACAATGCAATGAATGTCAAAGTTTTGATAGTTTTAGGAAGTGTTTTACTGCACTTGCAACACAAAGAGGTCATATAACAGCCGAAGATTAGGTGTTACAAGAGAGTAACAAACATAAAAAAGGAGGAGAGATAAGGGCGACAGATGTTTGAAAGGAAAGAAGGAGCAGACAACACCAGAGCGCCTGCCAACCACCCACCGTCAAAGTTTGACGCACCCACAACAACGCCACTTCCTTCATTGCTTTGGGGACAGGGAAGAGGCATGTCGACACAATAATGGCCATACCGTGCGGATAGATAATACGGACAGATGGACAGAACACAGAGGAAGAAAAGAAGTAGGACCTAGTAGTGGGTCCTTCCTTATCAGCATGAACTTCATCGTCCAAGCCAAAAAAAAACAAACAGTAAAAATCTACAAACAAAAGAAAGACCAAAAACTGAAATTTCATAAATCAGCTGAGAATACATCACATATTTACCAGAAAGCCCGTAAAACACTTCAGGGTTCAAATGACACCCTGATCTTCAACAGGCAGCATTCAATACTTATGAAGTCTTCACAAAAAAAATTTGTAAGCACAATCCTACAGAACACAACTGTGAAACAGCTTTCAAACCTACTAACTCATCATTCCTCCTCGTTCAGAAAAGAAGAAAATGTCTTTAACCCTATCCGTACGTCGTGTTTTACTATCGTATCCACACCACCTTTGGGGAACTCTGTGCCACCACTTTCAAATTTACTCGTTAATCCGATTAGTACGCTTTGCATAGCAGTCTGTCAAAATGATGTTTTGAGAAATACTGAGAGTTTCAAAGAGACCTTCAGACTAGAAGTATTCTAAAATGTGAAGAATACAACCCCGGGGATACAAAATGACCCCAGGATGTACAGATAGCGTTACAAGACAAAAATTAAAACAGATCTACTTACCGGGAGTTTTCCTCCTCCACTCTTCGTGTTTATCCTCAACTCTTCAACTTTGCCATATTCTGCAGAGAAACAAAGAACAGATAAGTTCATAGTCCTTTTTTTCTATATTTTCCAAATCCACAAGCAAATCATCACATGTCTTTCAAAGCTGGGAACAGGCAAAACAAGTACGTGTGGGGGAAAAACAACACAACCCACAACACACAGAAGACTAAACATATAGCACAATTACAAGCAGGTACACGCATGCATTTCTCCAAGTTTCAATAAATCAGAAATCAAGCCTGAATCCTCCAAAAGAATCCCTTCGACTTACGTTTCCTGTTTCTTGTAGGACATGACTGAAATCCCACAGATTCCACCCTGCAGCTACCAGTGATGCTACACAAAAGGTCTTTTTCAAAAAGCTTTAGTAAGAGTTTTACAACACTTGCAACATAATAAGGTTGTATGAGTACCGAAGATTAAAAGTGTTACAAGAGAGTTTGTTTGTTTTAGTAGAGGTTTAACGGCACTCGCAACTGCATAAGGTCATATGAGCGCCAGAAGATTCGAGGTGTTACAAGAGAGTAACAAACATAAAAAAGAAGAAGGGGAGATAAGGACGATAGATGTTAGATAGGAAAGAAGAAGCAAAGCACACCAGAGCACCCGCCAACCACCCAAACACTGGGTCTACAAGTTCAAAATGTGTGCGTGTGTGTGTGTATGCGCACGTGTGCGTGTGTGTTCTTACTTTACTATAAACTAATAAGCGCAAGCAAAACTCACGTTCAAAGAACTCCTTCAACTCTCGTTCCGTGATGTTCAGGGGCAAGTTTCCGACAAACAATTGCTGGCGATCAGAGTATTTGGTGCCACCAGCACTGTTGGACCTGCGCCCGTTTACACTTTCGTTGTCTCCGTCACCGTCACCGCGGCTCATACTGTTCCTGTCACGGTCGGCATATCGATCACGGGGAGCTCTGAAACACAAAAGAATGTTAATATTATAGAACCTTTTAGTTTTAGTAAGTGTTTTACAGCATTAGCAACACAATAAGGTCAAATAAGCGCAGAAGATTAGAGGTGTTACAAGGGAGTAACAAACACTAAAAAAAGAAGGAGGGGAGATAAAGACAATATATGTCCGATAGGAAAGAAAAAGCAAACCACACCAGAGCACCCGTCAACCACCCACATAGAACCTTTATGGGATATCTAATTTTTAATTGTGTGTGTGTGTGTGTGTGTCTGTGAGAATGACAATTCTATTACATGTTTGTTGGAGTCACGAGACATGATTCTAATTTCTTCTGCTAAATACGAAAAAAAGTGCTAGTATTATTACAAACACAACTTAAAAAACTACCTGGCAAGCTGAAAATTTCTTAACATTTTTAATACTATGCAGATCTCTGTAAAGTTTTCATGACTTCATATCAGAAACAATATTAACCCTTTCCTAGCGCTGGTACGCCAGTGAGGGGAAAGAACTGTATTATCAAGCAGAAAAAGGCAGATATTTTAACCAGTGAGGGGAAAGAACAGCAATATCAAGCAGAAAAGAAAAAGACAGAAATGTGTACAACAATATCATCAGTCAATGGAACACAAGCTTTATAGCATGCTGTATGTATTTCCTACCTCTGTGGCCTCTGTGCCTGGGGGGCCTGTGTGGGAATGCCTTCTGTCTTGGCAGGCTCCTGGCGCACTTGGGGCGGCTTGCTCACGTGGCTGGCGGCCGGGGCGGGGAAAGACTGTGCTTGTGGGGCAGATCCACCCGCGGGGTTCTTGCTGGCTAGCGCAGCCCACGTAACCGGCTTGCGTTCTGGGAAGGGGGGGAAGCGAAAAAGTCTCAGGCATTGCACAATAATTAGTCGAAATTGTTAGACATCCACTAATTACCAACGACAGTGTCATAATAATTTTAAAATCGCAAGATGGAGAAGCAGTTTTTTTTAGTATACTTTTAGTAGAGTTTTTACGGCCATCGCAACTGCATAAGGTCATATGAACGTCAGAGGGAAGTAAGGGATGGTTGTATAGTTAACCCTAACTCTGGCAAGGGCCGATTAGATCGGCCCATTTCCTGCCATGAAACTGGCAGGGCCGATCTCATAGGACCATATAGTAAACTGCTGCTTCTGCCTTCCAACTAAATATTTGGGGGTTCCTAAAGTGATTTCTGATTGGCTAAAAGGCTAACCTCCAACCAATCAGAATATTTCTACCATTCTGGCTTAGGAGAAGAGTATTTTGTTTTCAAAACAGAGGGATGTTTTGAAAGCTTGTTGATCAGGTCACAAGCCACTAATGCCAGTGTAGATCTATCACTTGTGTGGGTCTAAAATGGCCAAAAATCGATCTTTTTTGGATACATTTGAAAGTGAATTGACTAGGGAAAGTAATTCAGACACTGTTAGTGGTGGATTTATTGGTGTTCAGTCAAGATTGGGATTAGATCTGACAGACAATGGGGATACATGTACCAGTTCTCATCCTGCCCCAACTTCTTTCAAATGGAACACTAGATCCTACTACTTTGGGAGTCTAATAGGGGCAGAAAAAGGAGAGCTATAGAGTAAAGTAGGTTCCTTTTGCTATACTAATTATTACAGACTACCAGCAGATTGCTGAAAACCACATGGTTGTACTTAGAGTGTTTTTATGTTGAGTTTGGTATAAAATTAGCGAGTATCAGCTGCGCTCGAAGCAGACCACATGACAAATTGAAACAGTCATAACTCTTTACCTGTTCTTCTCAAACCTATAAAACTACACATTTTCTGAAAGGTAATTGAAAAACCCATATTTCTGCTATCTCACATTTTTTATAACAAGAAATACATTAGATTGGTGAATATGCTAATGAGCATGTAAATTTTTTATGTCAGCCATCTTGGATTTCAAAGTTACATAACCCCTTGAAAATAAACTAAAATCATATGTTCAATGGCAAAATATAAAAGTTCATTCAATTCTTTCAGAAAATATATACTTTTGTAGGGTTTTTATTTGATACAAGTCCATAAATTTGATTGGTAAAGCATGTGCACGTTTTGGTTGACTGGCCCTGCCATTCCTGTTGAAACCACTTGCCAGAGTTAGGGTTAAATACTTTGAACACGTGGTCATTAGACCCTGTTTGCTTATTTTACTAAAGAGTTTTACGGCACTTGCAACAAAATTAGATCAAAAGGAGCGCTAAAAATCAACAGGTTACAAGAGAGTAACAAACCCAACCAAAGGAGAGATATGGACAATAGATGTTTGATAGATAAGGCACAGTTATGAGCGTGACATGATGAATCAGCCCATTTACCCTTCTACTGTGCTTGAACGAGAAATGTCCCCCCTTTGGGAATGGCCTAAAGACACTACAGTCGGAGGAAAAAAGGAGCAAACCACACCAGAGCACCCACCTTCTATGTACCGTTCCAATTTTAGTATATAATACGTACAGCGTGAACACTTAAAAAATCAAATCTTACCCAGAGGGGGGTCAGAAAACTCTGGCTGTGGTGGCTCTGGCGCAGGGGAGGGCTTGGGCTCCACTTTCTGTTCAAACTTCTCCTCGGACGGGGACACTTCCTCCGGCAGGCCGCTGTCGGCGTTGCTCGGGGTGCTGTCCCCCTCGGCCTTGGGAGCCTGGGGTGGGGTGGAGACGATGGCTGGGGCCGGCTCGGGTGTCTTCAGGGCCTCCACCTCGTGGCTGGTGCCGTTGCTGGGAGAGAATAAGGAGGACACAAGAGCAAAGAAAGTTAGTTTTGGTGATAATTTTAAGTCCAGTGGTTGAGTAGTTTTGGGAAAGTTTTACAGCGCTCGCAACCCGCAACTGCATATACGGTCTTTTGTGAGCGCCAAGGGGTGCTTTTTGTTTGTTTTAGTAAGTGTTTTACGGCATTTGCAACACTATAAGGCCATATTAAGTGTTGAGGATTAGAGGTGCTACAAGAGAGTAACAAGCATAAAAAAGGAGGAGAGATCAGGACGACAGGTGCTTGATAGGAAAGAAGCCGTCATTTAGCGCAGGGAAAAATGAGGAGAGCACAAAGAAATTTTGTTTTAGTGAGTTTTACGTCAGGTAGTAGAGTAAAGAGATGCATGTAGACACAAGAAGTCATTGAGTAAAAGTAAAAAGTAAAGACAAGCCAACAGAAATAACAGAGAAGGAAAGAACAGTAAGACCAACCAGTGGCACCCTCCAACCACCTTTATAATAGTTTTACGGCACTTGCAACACAATCAGGACTAATAAATGCCAAAGACCTGAGGTGTTACGGTAGAGACTTTAGAGACTGATTTAGACATACAAATAAATCAAAAACTCAGTCAATGCGTTAGCTCAGGTTTTGAGTACACGAGGAGGAACTTCTCAGCATTTTGTTTCATAAGAGAGGGCAAGTTCCAAGTGTCATCACTGCTAACGATATCACATAGACATAATGCAACATACATTATTGCAATGTAAAGAAACAATTGAACACGTTTTCACATTGACTCATCATATCATGTTGCTGCAAATTTTGAAATACATTCGAAGGTACAGGCTCTTCAGGAACTATGTGATTAGATGTCACATAAAGTTGTTTGCTAAAAATAGTAAATCTGCTACACTATGCTGCGCAATTAACTCACAACTCTTCTACATGTACTCCTCTCTTAAATAATGATCAAGACAAATGCCCCACACTAACAACCGTAAAAGAAAATTTTCTGAAGACAAAATATAAAAAAGCAACACAAAACTACGGTTGTAACTGCAGTTTTTAAGTACTTCAAGACATGGGAAACTGAATTTTTTTTTCTTCAATGAGTTAGCTCAGGTTTTGAGTACACGAGGAGGAACTTCTCAGCATTTTCTGTCATAAGAGAGGGCAAGTTCCAAGTGTCATCACTGCTAACAACATTGGCACACAAGATATGACACAATGTGGAGAAAGTCTTAAGATTCCACATGGACTATTGGACCATTGCATAACATTAACACAAATTTTGACATACATTGAAATGTACACTCTCGTAACAGAATAGTAAAAATTTGTCAAATGAAATTTGCCCAACAAGAGCAGTATCTTTTCAAAAACAAATGTTTTACAACCGAACAGTTCGATATCTGAGCTGTTTCTCGCCCCTACCTTTACCAAAAACACCTTACACTATCAATTAATAAAATAATTTTTTTTAAATTTTAATTCCCAAAGGTTAAAAAAAAATAAAGGGTTGCTACAATCAACATCAGTTGTACTTCCAACTCAAAGCATTATCGATCATAAAGATAGGAGTTAAAGTGTTTGGTTTTTTTTACTAGGTTAGCTCAGGTTTTGAGTACACGAGGAGGAACTTCTCAGCATTTTCTGTCATAAGAGAGGGCAAGTTCCAAGTGTCATCACTGCTAACAACATGGGTACACATGATTGATTGATTGATTGAGTAGGAGTTTTACAGCACTATTGACTCAGTCTTGGTCATTAGTACACACGAGACATGGCACAATGTGGAGAAAAGTCTTAAAGATTTCACACTGATTATAGGATCATTGCATAACAGTAACCTCAAATTTTGACATACATTGAAATTTACAGACTCTCCTGGCAGGACAGTAAGTATTTGTCAAATATAATTTGTTCAGCCAGGAGTATCTTCTCCAAAAAAGTTTTACTATATAAAAATAATATAACAGTTCAACACACGAGCTGTCTCTTCACCCCCTTATCAAAAACTTTTTGTAAGTTATAAAACACCTTACACTACCAATTTATAAATTAAGTGTGGTTTTTTTTTTTACTTTTTAATTTCCCAAAAAATTTTTTTTATTGTGTTAGCTACAATCAACATCAGTTGTATTTCTAACTCAAAGTATTATGGATAGCCAAAATGGAAAATGTTTTCTTTTTTTTACTCGGTTAGCTCAGGTTTTGAGTACACGAGGAGGAACTTCTCAGCATTTTCTTTCATAAGAGAGGGCAAGTTCCAAGTGTCATCACCGCTAACAACCTTGGTACACATAGGACATTAGGAGAAAGTATTAAGTTATTTTCCACACCTGTTATTAGATCGTAACGTAATATCAAATTTTGACATATATTCAGAGGTGCGGACACTCCTAGCACAATGGTATGTGTCAAATAAACTTTGCCCAACAAGAGGAGTATCTTTTCAAAAACAATGATGAATACACATGCCGTTTCTTCTCCCTTTACCCAAAACTTTAAAAGATAAAGAAACACCTGACACTATCATTTGATAAAATATTTTAAGTTGTATTTTTTTTATTAACCTTTCAGTTCCCAAAGCTTCAAAAAAACTGTAAGCTACAATCAACATCAGTTCTACTTCTAACTCAAAGTAGTATCAACAATCAAGACGAGTGGAAGGGTTTTTCTTATCTTGGTTAGCTCAGGTTTTGAGTACACGAGGAGGAACTTCTCAGCATTTTCTTTCATAAGAGAGGGCAAGTTCCAAGTGTCATCACTGCTAACAACACAATAGACTTGGCACAATGCGGGGAAAGTACTGAAGTTTTCACACCGATTATTGGATCATTGTGTAACAGGATTTTTTGGGACACATATTCGAATAAACAGACCCTCATCGCACGATAGAATGTGTCAAACAAAATTGGCCCAACAAGAGGAGTACCTTTTCAAAAACAATGTTTACAAGATAACAGTTGAATACACAAGAAGCTGTTTCTTCGCCCCTCCCACTCCCTTTACACAAAACTTCGGGGGGAAATGGGTTAAAAAAACACCTGGAAACTGATACAAAAGATTTTTTAAAACTTTTTGTATTTCTAAGTAGTATGGACAATCAAGAAGAGTCTCTTCCTTTTGATGCGTTAGCTCAGGTTTTGAGTACACGAGGAGGAACTTCTCAGCATATTGTTTCATAAGAGAGGGCAAGTTCCAAGTGTCATCACTGCTAACAACATTGGTACACACGAGACATGGCACATGCGGAAACAGTATTTTAAAATTCCTCATTAACAATTGGACCATTACATATCAAATTTTGGCATACATTCAAATCTGCACTCTCCTGACCAGATAGTAAGTATTTGTCAAGTAAAATTTACCAAACCAGGAGTATCTCTCCAAAAACAATGTTTTGTAACATAACCGTTGAATACTCGAGCCGTTTCTATGCCCATCCCTTTATTCTAAACTTACTTTGGGGGGGCGCGAGAGTTTGTAGTTCAAAACACATCCAACACTATCAACTGATATTTCTTTAGACATTCTTTTTTTTTTCAAGGTTAAAATAAAAAATACGGGACAATCAACACCGGTTGTACTTTTGACTCAAAAGTAGTATGGACAATCAAGACTACTCTTTGATGCGTTAGCTCAGGTTTTGAGTACACGAGGAGGAACTTCTCAGCATTTTCTGTCATAAGAGAGGGCAAGTTCCAAGTGTCATCACCGCTAACAAAAATAATCATGATACATGCATGTGACTTGGCACAATGTGGGGAAAGTTTTGAAGTTTTCACATTGACGACTGGATTATAATTACGTAACAGTTAATTTTTAAATGTTTTATTGTGCATGCTCTTTCTGCAAGACAAAAGAAGTCAAAACTGTCCAAGACCCTTTGTTCAGAAGAAAAGTGGTTGTACTAGACTGGAGCACTTCTTTCAATGCATCCGAATAATAATGTCAACAATATTTTTTAAAAAGGAGGAAGGGGGGGAGGGAGAGATGATTGGGAAGTGACTATTTTATAAAGGTGATCAAGAACAGGTTTATCCCTCCCTCTACCCCAAAAATTTTTTCAACATATCTTGCACTAACAAACAGATTAAAAAACAATTTCCCCAAAAAAAGAACTGGAAGTTACAACCATCACTGCTTGTACTTTTAATTCACAGTAGTATTGACAATCAAGATAAGTGACAATCAAGATAAGTGAAAGGGTTTCGTTACACTTGGTTAGCTCAGGTTTTGAGTACACGAGGAGGAACTTCTCAGCATTTTTTTTATAAGAGAGGGCAAGTTCCAAGTGTCATCACTGCTAACAACATTGGTACACATGAGACATAGCATGATATGGAGAAAGTATTGAAGTTTCCACATCGATTATTGAATCATTACATAGCATCACATTTTGACAGTTTTGAATGTAGAGTCTCGCAGCAAGACAGCAAGTGTTTGTCAAATAAAATTAGCGAAACCAGCAGAGTGGAGATCTTTTCAAAAATTATGCTTTACAACACAACTGTTGAATACTTAAGCTGTTTCACTGTATCATTGCTCTCCCTTTACCCAAAAAGGCGGGGGGGGGGGGGGGGGGAGGACACATCTGACACTATTAAATGATAAAATAGTTGTTCTTTAATTCAAGGTACACTCAACAATGGTTGAACTTGTATCTCAAAGTAGTATGGATAATCAAGATGAGTTAGAGGAATTTTTTTCTCTCTTTGATGCGTTAGCTCAGGTTTTGAGTACACGAGAAGGAACTTCTCAGCATTTTCTGTCATAAGAGAGGGCAAGTTCCAAGTGTCATCACTGCTAACAACAATATACATGATACATGCATGTGACTTGGCACAATGTGGGGAAAGTTTTGAAGTTTTCGCATTGACAACTGGATATTACGGAACAGATAATTTTTTAATATGCTCACTCCGCAAGTTATAATAAGTCAAAACTGTCCAAAACCCTTTGTTCAGAAGAAAAGTGGTTGTATTAGACAGGAAGACTTCTTTCATCGCATCCTAATAATGTCAACAATAAAAATATTTTTTAGGGGGGGGGGAAGAGATGATTGGGAAGTGATTATTTTATAAAGGCGATCATCTAACAGGGGTGGCCTTAAAAAGAGGTTCAACCGCATTTGTCAAAATTCCCGAACCAGAAGAGCATTTCTTTTTAAAAACATCACTTACTATTATAACGTGAACACCTGTGAGTCGTAATTCTTTATCCCTCCCTCTATCAAAAAAAGATAAAAAGTTTAGAACATATCTTGCACTAACAGATTTTTATAATTTCCCAAAAAGAACTGAAAGCTACAACCAACACTGCTTGTACTTTTAATTCACAGTAGTATGGACAATCAAAATGAGTGAAAGGGTTTCGTTTAAGTCGCTTAGCTCAGGTTTTGAGTACACGAGGAGGAACTTCTCAGCATTTTCTGTCATAAGAGAGGGCAAGTTCCAAGTGTCATCACTGCTAACAACAACAAAACACAAAGACCCTAACACAACTGACAAGTTGCAGTTAACATGTAGGCTGGGGAATCCCTGAACAACTTTTCCACTGACAACTGAATCAACTAGTACAGTCGAACCCACTCTAGCAACCACTTGTCCATTACAATCACCAACAAAAAAAATTCCCTTTGGTTGTTGGGTTTTTTCTTTTTCTTTCATGACACTGTATAAGTGGACTGCTTATCTGTAATGACCACTCTTCTCCTACACAATGGGTAGTCATCTTACACAAGCCCATTTGTACCTGCAAGCTTTTAGTCGTATTCGAAAGTACAGGTTCATCTTTCAGTAAGATCTTAAAATGATGATCCAACAAAATTTGCTCAACCGGAAAAACCGAAATTGTCTTTTGAGAAACAATAATTCCAACTACATCAAAACCGTTGCAGGTTATTTCAAAACACCCATGCCCTACAAAAAAAAAAATGTATTCAAGACAAAAACTTGACAGCAACAAATGTTTATGAACAATTTCCCAAAAGAAAAAGATTAAGAGTGAGCACTAAACGTAGATTGTGTACTTCTACTTTAAGATACTTTGGATAATGATGTGTTAGCTCAGGTTTTGAGTACACGAGGAGGAACTTCTCAGCATTTTCTGTCATAAGAGAGGGCAAGTTCCAAGTGTCATCACCGCTAACGACATAAGTAGTATACACGTGTTCGCAAGACTGGTGAACTAAACAAAAAAGGCTCAGACACAGACATTTTTTTTTTTTTAAATTACACAGCATCTGCTAATTGAAAAGTATTTTCACAAACAGAACATACAAAAATAGTGTCTAACCAATTTTCCATGTGGACAAGTATCTTGGGACACGAGAAGCACTTTTTCCTCTTCTTCAAAGAACCCTGAAGAACAACTAAACACTGAAGTGTAAACACACATACAGCCTCTAGCTCTAAGCAGTATTTCTTTCAGTTCCACCTGTCATCGTGGCTAACGAGATGTATCAACGAGACCAGGGAACAGCAGAGTACATGAGAATAGGTTTAAAGATTTACCTCAAAGGCACCGGATCGTAGTAGTTGGAGGGCACTTCTTGCGCCACGGCTGGGGCTGGATCCGGTATGGATCCATTTTCCAAGATTTCTTGCCTTGGGTCTGTGACAAATCCTATGTGAAAACACACAAAGATATGTGGACATTGAATAAAACCACGAGAAATTGATGACATTCATAACTATTCGACACAAGAACTACAACAAACTTTTTCAGCAAGGAAGAAAAAATACAGCACAAAACCATCCTCCACCTGGTGTAAAAAGAGTTAAAACAATGACCACATACATCCCCCTTCCCATGACAATGAAGTTTCCATGAGCAAAGCAAAATCTTAGGGACCTTGGTCCATCAAGAACTTCTTCAAACTTCCAAAACTCTAAAGGGCAAAAACTTCCAAATTACACTTTCATCTCAAATAGGACAGAGCCATGTGGGTGTGGAGAGCCATTAAGAGCTCATCCAACAATTCAAGTTTCAACAACACCCTGCCGGGACTTCCAACCTGGGAAATACACACTATCTATGATACCAATAAAACTTGAAGTACTCCCACTCTAATTTACAATATTTCAGAGACATGGAAATAACAAAAACGGTTCAAAAACATACAAAAGTAGGCAGGAAGTTGGGTAAAGCAAAAAAAAATAAAAATATATACATATAGAAAAAAGAAACAGTTAAAGAAACCCCCAGAGATTGTGCCAACATTGAGTCAGTGATATAATAGTTCCACAAGAACAAAGACAATTGAGCATCTATTTTAAGAATATACACCTGCAACTCTCTCACTAATAAAAGACTTCACTTAAAAAGTTCTTGAAGGATCTCCAATAATTTGGGGATGGGGTGTGTATATGTGTGTGTGTGTGTGTGTGTGATACATGTATTACATCCAGTACTCTAGATGACAAAAATTTGGGTCAACCTTCAACTTTGACGGACAGCCACAAAAGTTCTTCCCCTATCTTTCGTAGTCAGTCCAATCAAACACCCCCTCCCCCCCTACTCACGGTCAGTTTCCTCGGGATCCCCGTCGTCGTCGTGGAACACCTCGTCCTGATAGCGGAAGATGTCGTTGTGGACATAGAACTTCTTTGGGGTCTGGGGCACCAGGACAAACGTCTGCATGAAGCGCCTCATGGGCTCCCCGTTGTTGCTGAGTTCTCCCGTCACCTGGACCACGACAGAGTCCTCCACTGTAGCCTGGCTGTCCACCTGGCGGATCTTCGCATGGCAGTCGTTGAAGCCAAGGGAGAGAATCTTTTTGTGGATGGCCTGCAGTGAGATAAATGTGTATGACACTGAAAGCAAAATATCTTCAATTATTTCTACCGAAAGGCAATGATTGTCTTTTTTACACATGAAACTGGAAGACCCAACATAAATGCAACAGCCTCAAACTATCTTTCAATATTCCCAAACAATCCAATGCATAGATCACAAAAATTTATAGCACACTTCAGTCTAAGGAATTGCTAAACTCAATTCAAAACTTGCAACTGAGCATAAATGTGTACAGTTATCCCCACACCCCCCAGACTTTTTGACACTTGAAAGCCCACGACAAATGAAATTCATACTGCCCAGATCTGTCTTGGGCAGAAATCAACAAGACAGAACATTTTGTACCCCCCTATTACCAAAAAGAAGGAAATTCGCTGTTACGCCACTATGAAACTATACTATTCTAACCGCCTATACATAATACATTACCTCTTGACCAACAACAGGAGGCTGTTCATTTCCGGCTTTCTCAACTCCACCGTGCACAAATGCAGAATTGTTACTGTAGAATCTGTGAGGATGAAAAGTAAAACAATGCAATGTATTGTGCACACAAAAAAAAGTGCTCCCAAGAGAAAAAAAATTTCAGCTATCGCCTGAACACAATTTCCAGGACCCGATTTATTGAATAAAAAGACTAGAAAATGTATTGCCCTTTGACTTTTACATTCCACGAAGGGTAATCAATAAGGCCTGTCAAGTAAAAATCATTTTTTCATGGCATCTTTTACTCAAATTTCTGAAAATCTGATGGCCAGAGAATAAGAAGCTGTTGTGTAGCCATTCTCAGGATGGTGAAGGAAATTTTTTTAACACCGGTAAGTTTGTCTCATTTAAATACAAAAGCAAAACATTATGCTCCCTTCAAAAACAAAACCTTACAATAAAACACTTTTACCCATAACAGACAGAGAGGAAAGTTGGGAAGGCTTAAGACACTGCAGCAGCTCCATCTTGCCCTGCCTTCTCTCTCTGAACAAGACGAAAGTAAAGAGATTTATAAGAACAAACTTTTTAAAAAAAACATACCTGTGAAGGTGAAGCGGTGCCTCATTCAGCATAGTATAGTACTGCCGTACAAATTCACGGCCGACTTCCTGTGGGCCAGGTGTTTCCATTACCATTGTCCTGTGGGGAGAACACAAAATGTGTATGGTTCAACAACTGCAAACATTGAAACAACAAGGTACTAAAAAACATGCAATGCTGGGACATATAAAATAAATACCTATTCAAAAGAAGCACTGATTGGCCTCATTTTTTCCAACATTAAAATAAAGTAAAGAGCCAAGCACACTACATTAACCAAGTTCACAGAGGGTTTTTTTGGACAACGCACTCCTCATACAACTGTCAGCATCCCTGTTAACCTATACATGTCTCCTTACGCACGACGCTACGTTTAGTTGCGCGCGATAGTCGCTAGAGACGAGTCACAAGGTGTGCATCCTGCCTTAAGCGCAACAACATCGAGCCAAAATTTCCAGTTGCTGCGACCAAACACTCTACTTATGAGCGACACGGCGTCGCTTGCGACTGGCTTAGCCCCCCCCCTCCCAGCGGCTGACAATTCACATAAAAGAAACAGTGGCAAATTTTCATGTCCGGATGGACAATGTAGTAAAAAGTCCGTCAGACGGGAGTTCTACGAGCCACTGACATTTCGATTCCATACATGGCCAATCTCGTGCAAGTCCTCCTCCTCCTCCTCCACCTCTCCTTCTTCTTCTCCTCTTCCTCCTCCTGCTGTCCGTTAAAAAAACAAAACAACAAGATTAGATTCACAAAACTTGCATTGAGTCGAATTGAAGATGAACATCCTACACACACACACAATCACACATGGTGCATCAACCAGCACTCCATGGCTGGGTATTTTAACCAATAGTGATGCTCTAAACCTATCACACCCACAGTCTGTCGCACGCAACGAGACCCTCGATCGCTACATTGATCCATGGACCCATCACAGGCGACGGGTTATGTGTAACTAGACGTCACGTCGCGTGTAAGGAGACTGTTTCTCTAATTATAATCTTTCATGATTGATTTTAGAGCGGCAAATATTGTACGCAACACGACGTCGCGCAAAAGGAGAAAGCTCTAAGTTTAGTTCTAGTAAGTTTTTTGGGGCACTTGCAACACAATAACGTCATATAAGTGTCAAATAATAAAGGTGTTACAAGAGAGAGTTTAACAAACACAAAAAAGGAGGGGAGATAAAGACGATAGATGTTTGACAGGAAAGAAGAAGCCAACCACATCAGAGCACTCGCCAACCACCCGCACAAGCTCTGAAGTGGGAGGGAAAGTTGACTTGGCATGTGCAGTTCCACAGCTGACAAGTATACACAACCAAACTATCATCATGAGAAGTCCAAGAGCCACCTTCCATGAGACATGCACTGAGGATTGTGAAGCACACTAGAAACCGAATAGAGCGTTTTATGTCCATAACTTTCTCCAAAAAGACAAGAGTCTCAAGAAGCCTTAAGTGAGACATCGGGGCCAGCCAGGATTTTACAAAACCTCTACTAATGAAAAGCAAAAGCTATCAAACTAGCACAATATAATAGAGCCTCAAAAATCAAACATTCAATTGCAACACATGAGCATTTGATGAGCATTTGGGTGTGTTTGAAAAACTCCCGGCTGAACGAGATCCTTCCCATTTTTCTCTCTCAGGTCTTTTTTACACATGGAAGTGTGGATTCCTACAGTCCTGCTCTCAACACTGATAATATTATCCGTTTCATCTAAGCTTGTTAGCAGCCAGGACAGCAGTCTCATTATCTCCGTGACAGTAAACGTGCCGTCAAGAAATGGTCAACTCATTACAAATTATAAGGACCTAGTCCTAGATATCTAGTGTCAGTGTCACTTTCCTCATCCCCAATATCATACCCATAGTTTCAAACAACAGAACTACCAATCTTAAGTCAAAAAGGAAAATTTGATAGCATTACCATTATTGAGTTTACATTTTTTTGCAAGAACGCACTTTTCATCTTCAAGACAAGACCTGCAGGCATATTTATCGATCGCTTACAAGCCTTGCAGTTTAATTTAATACTGGCGTGTAGGCTATATCGTTAATAACAAGTGTGTATTTTCTTCGCAAAAACAAATCCACGCTGTTCTTGAGGCTAATACTTTGTATTGAAGAATTAGAGCCAGACGATTAGCGCAACGTGCATCATGTAATGTCCAAAAGAGGCAATCAGGAACAGCAAATTGTACCATCTTTTCGTGTGACATCCATGGAACATCATATAGTACATACAGAGCAATGAAAAGGTTAATGCAACAGAAATCAATAGAGGACTACGATTAAAACGATGATTTTCTAGACTCCAGACCCTTTTCTGTTTTAAAATAGATCTAGTACTCAGCACTACTTGCAACACGACACGGTCATAAAGGCTGAAGATCAGATTTTACCAGAGTGACATAAAAAAAGAGGAGAGATCATGACGACCGATCAGGTTTGAGATGAAAGGTGCAAACCACACCAGAACACCGGCCAATCCAATGAGGCCACCTCTATTCTCACCGGAGTGAGAATAGTGCAGGCGAGTCTTGTGGCTATTCTCACCCGGTGCGCGTTCACCAAATGTTGCGTTCACCCTAAACCACAGAATTCTACACTGTGATAACAGAAAAATTGTAGAATTCTGTGCCGTGAACAAACGTTCCATTACAACTGTAGCCTACTAAAAGCGTACAATTTTGTCTGTGGGCAGTGGAGAGAGAGAGAGAAAGAGAGAGAGGAGTAGCGCGAGAATTTCCGGGCAAAACAAAATGGCGACCCGCGTAGTTCGGCTCGATTCGAAAAGTTAAATAGCCGTAGCATCTTTGTAGACAACCAAACTAATTTACTTTTGTGTTTTAACATCATTTTTTAACTTTGTTTTGGCCAATTTGATCGTCCACACCGAAAGACAGTATTCAGAAAGAGACAGAGAGAGAGAAGAGGAGAGGAGTTGATCTTGCGAGAACTTCCGGGCGGGTGAGAATAGCCACTTCCATCCAATGACATGCATGCGGCATTCCAGTTTGTCAAGGCTACCTTTCTAATTCGAAGTGCCCATTGGGGGATCGAAAAACCGATCACTCGAGTCATCGCCTGAAAACAAAACGTGTTTGTTTTTGAGGCGATGGGTCAGGCAATCGGTTTGCGCCACAATAGGCCTACCCACTTTGCACTGTCAATCTGGCTAGCAACCGAACTGAATCGATAGATCTACTACTACTACTAGATCTAGATATCTAGTGCCAATGGAATCCAAAGGCAGAGATTATTAGCATTAAGTGATTAAGCTACAGCTTCATTAGGCCTAGATCTATGGATTCTGATTCCAAAACTCTTAACTGAAAATTAATTTAAAACTGAAACTAAAGTAAGACTAAAGACAAAACAAAGGAGATCAACTCAGTCAATTCAATTAAAAAGCAAAGGTCAGCTGTTGTTTGCCTTCAATGATGTCAGTCAAAAGGAGACCGGTCTACACTTTTTAAGATCAAACCCATAGGCTATATCATCACTAAAATGGGCAGTTGCATAGTCATTATTTCGTCTCCTAAATGTCCCTTCTAGCTTTGGACTCTTGGTTAGTTCGAATTGTAAAACCCCTTCTCTGAACTTGAACTGTGTAGGCTGTAGGCGACAGCTCTCGAATCTGCATGATCAATCTGAGGTAAAAACCAACCAATGGCAATGAAACAAATGAGATGAGAATTCAGTTTATAGAAAACAGGCCTTTTGAGGATTGAAACAACTTATAAATCGTAGACCTTTAAATCCGTCCAGTGCAGTTGAGGCGACAGAACAAAGACTTGACAAATTCATAGAATAAGGACATTCCTCCAGACGAGGAACCATGACATGCGCGTTCAACACCGTGCATACTGAGAAAGTAAGTACAGAACACTGAGATTCTCGACGAGGTGAAATTTTAGTTTGGAAATAAACAAAAACAGGTACACTCATGAGCGATTTTTCTAAACAATAATGACGTGTTACAATTTATTTACATTGTCAGCCAGTCACATAAACGTATTTTAAATGAAAAACACTTACAAAGAAAATAAATTTCTCCTCAAGTTCAGTATCCCTTACACATGGGATGGTGCGCAGATCAGGTCTGAAGAAACAATGAACTGCGCATGAATCGACTCTCCTGGGCAGGAAAGTGAAGTCCCCGTCCAAGAACGGGAACATGTATTACTATCAATACGGTCAAATTGAACATGAAACAGACTGTATTTTTAGAATATTGAAAAGTTTACTTGAAACGGATTCTGAACACATTTTCATTTTAATAATGCTGAGAATGATTGTATGTACATGAAACAATTTGATTTAACTTTGACGACCGCGTGTTTCTGAACATCAGCACACATAATGCCGAACGCGGGCCCTGTCCTTCCTGTTGAACCAAAAAAGCAAGTACTTGTGGCCAATTTGACAAAAACTCGAGTTGGGCTTGATCAAAATACAATCTATAAAAATAATAGAATAGCCAAAATTCAAGAGTGTGAGCTTTCGTAAACACATAAATGTTATCATAACACTGATTTTATGACAGTGGGGTAGAATAATGCAGGCCTACCATGTCTTCATCGGCACAAAAGAACGCCAATTTTTATCAGTTGATTGTTGGGGGGGGGGGGAGGGGGGGGGGGGTGATTGAGATACACTACTATCAAAGATCGCAATATATCTTGGTAGTGGAGAATCTTTGCTACTATAATTACAACACGAATATCTATTTATAGTCACAGCAAGAGTACCATTGCAATAGGCCTAGATACTAATCAGTGGTTCAGGTTTATTCAGTGTGACTGTGTGACACCCGTGTACCATTAACCCCCCCCCCCCCCCCCAAAAAACGCCCCAAAAAAAACAGCGATCTTTAAAATGTAGTGAAATACCACGGGTGGACACACAACCTAGAGTACCGTAGGCTAGTAACAAATCTCTTTGTGTTCGTAGTTCGAGTGTAAATATAAAAATGTACAAAAACATTATTGTTAGTTCTGCACAAATTTTATTTTGTACCACAGAATTCTACACTTAGTGTAGAATTCTGTGTTTTGTACCAGCCTACCTGCAGGCTTTGTATTTTATGAAGACAGATTAGGTTTTAAGAAATTAAATTTAGGCTTGGAGATGCAGAAAAAAAAAACCAGTGACCAACAAAAGTTCTAGAACAAAATATCTTTTTTTTATATAGGCCTTGCTTAAAGACTATATTATTATTTACTGTCCTACCTATTAGACCAATAGAGTTTAACACATTGTACATGCTTGATTCTTTTTCCACGTTGGAATGGTTCAGGGGAATCATGATCACAGTTTGTTCAGTATTTGACAAATTTAGAGCCCGCGGTTAACCAAAAGCAATCTACAGTAGCCTACAGACCTATGGCTAGTTAGTTCAACATGGTTCGTCGTTCATTAAATTTTCTGTCTTTGCTTTGATAATATGCAATTTTAAAAAAACACCAAAAACAAACAAAAACAAAACAACGACCACAATTAACAAAACCTCGCACGTTTCAGTTTTCTGTCACCCATCTGTTCAGGTTCTCGGATATAGGCCCGTGCGTTCATATGAATAATTATTAATAGGCCAGGTTAGGGAATTTCCCGCGATAGATGAAAATCTGCGATGAAGAAACAGTATGCGTACCGTAGACTTTTTAATACTTTGTTAATAACAATAATAATATTAGCGAGATAATCACTCTTATGATCAAAACCTCGACGCGCGCTCACGCGTAAAAACAAAAACGACTAAAAAACGCGCCCGCCCTGACAATTTATATAAGCTTTATCTAACAACATGGAGTGAATTGACCTGCCGACTTTTGTTTGTGCCCTGACATTGTGTCTAATAGGCTTAATATAGCCGCAGAAACCAACATTCTAAAATCCCTTGTGTGTGAACCTGTAGAGTAATAAACGTTACTTTACTTTAGGCAGGCGACGATCACTTAGTCAAACCCAGTCAACCCACATTTCGAGGAACTAGATCTATAGATATCTAGCTCGATATAATTGATAATACCATATTTTTATACATGTATTGCAAGAAAGTTCTTTACCAACACAAATGAGATGCAAGAATTTGAAAGCGTTACTTTAGGCAGGCAACGATCAATGATTATAAGCGAATCAAGAAGAAAGGGTGTTCACGAGGTCAAAGAACGCACATATATGAGATTATAGGAGCGCCGATCCATTATGACATGACATTCTTTGGCTGGACATCGACGCCAACAGCTTAACTTATAAACATGTAGACATAACGCCTGTATGAGGTTGAAGATAAGATCGAGCAACAAAAGCAATAGATCTACAGTCGCCGCGAGGATATCAAATATCTTGGGATAGATTTAGGAGGATAGAATTAAGAGACGAAGATTATTCAAAAATGAAGGAGAAATGTGACTGTGTGGTCTCTTAATTACCCCTGACTCAGTTTTTGTTTTGGTAAGTGTTTTACGGCTCTCGCAACTGTCTAAGATAGGTCATAATATGAGCGTGCGGGACACATTTTCAGTTGGTAGGAAATTTTGAATTTTGCCCGGGTGGCGGCTGAAGCCTACTCTTATCGAATTTAGACCACCAAGAGATCTTTAATGTGCGCAACTTGCACACGGGACCCCGAGGTCACCACAGAGGGCCTCTATAGGTCCCCATAGTTAAATTCTGAGTGTCGCGAGCATTGGGCAGACTTGCAGCCAGATGGCTCACTGCTCCAAAGATTGATTAATCTTTGAAATGCGCCAAGAACTGAACATAATGTTTGAAAAACAGAACATTTGTATCGGCCTGTATTTGCTCATCACTTTACATCATGAACTAAAATTACGATTTCGTCTGGGTATTCAACAACGAAGATAACATGATGGCTAGAAAACAAAAACAAAAACAAAAACAAAACCCCGAGGCATATGCCTTATTCCGAGCTCGCAAAATGTGAAACGTGATACGGCGGGGGATACATGTATTTATCTGCTTCAGATGTGGCACTACATGAGGATGTGTTGGTCTCTATCCGGCGGCTGCCCAGTTCGTCACAATTTCATTTAGCCTAATTAAGTATTTGAGTATTGATGACAGTCATAATTGCAGCACTTTAACACTGTAGTTGTAACTTAAGATTTTTATTCTCCACCTACAAATTGGTGGTGTCGCGATAGTCCCTCTACATTTTCAATTCAGCTTGTGTTTTTCAAAATTTCTTCCTTTCTGACAACAATGACAATCTGTATGCAAGTCAAAACAAATTAGTCTGTAAAATTTCAACAATGAAAGTTCTTTCCTAAAATAACAATTGAAAAGTAAAATTCAATTCATACAATCAATCAATAATTCATTTTCTCTTTTTGAGAATCTCAGTGATAACTTCTATCATGCAGGGCAGTCGAGACCTGTGATAAACTGAGCCTGTGACATACTGGCATGCTTCCCCCCCCTCTCTCTCCCTCTGTGTGTGTGTGTATGTGTGTTTGTGTGTGAATGTGTGTGTGTGTGTGTGTGTTTGTGTGTGAATGTGTGTGTGTGTGTGTGTGTGTGTGTGTGTGTGTGTGTGTGTGTGTGTGTGTGTGTGTGCATGTGTGCGTTATTACCTTTTAGGTATAGACCTCTATAGGTTGTACAGACACATTATAGGCCTATAATTATACTACAGTAGCATACACTAGAATAATATTATCAGGTATATACAATTTTAATGTATAACGAGAGAGAGAGAGAGAGAGAGAGAGAGAGAGAGAGAGAGAGAGAGAGAGAGAAAGAGGGGGAGGGGGAGGGGTGAAGAGGAAGAGGTGTAATAATATTATAGTTTTTGAGGGGGGGGGCGGTGAGGTGGATGGCGACGCACGTGGCTGTTTCTTTTGACGTTTTATAAACAATCTTTCTTATTTCATGCAACTTGTTCTGTATTTTCTTTACCGGTTTTAGTTTGGTTGTGAAGATAAACTACCCTTAGTTTGGCACGATATTAGGGAATTTGTATTACGTAATAATCATTGTCAAAATATTATAATTACTAAAACTAAAACTTTTACTTTTCTGAGCCAAAATGAGATTTCAATACAAACAAATGCAAAAGTATAACTGTCGGGTCGTTTTTTCTGAAATTTCGTTTCGTTTCGTTTACTTTTCTGCGCATGCGTCAGGTACCTAACAACCGTAGCGTCCATTGTTTCAGTGTTGTCCAACGGGGTCCAACTAGTCAAGTGCTGAAAGGCGAAGAAGAAGTCAACAATTCCAGCTTTACTGAGAAGAGTCTTCTTTTGCTTCAGCTTTAAAGATGGCGATGAATATTCACCAAGAAGCGAGGCGCAAACAGGTGTTTATGGATAGAGTTTGCGAGGCGAGACGGCGCATGGCTTTCTCTCAAGACGATGCTCCACAAGTGAGTGAAAATGATCAACCTTGTCATTGAACTTTATAACACTTAACATGACGACCAAACTAGAACCAAGCAGAACTTGTTGATATTCCAATTTAAACTTTTTTCAATGAAAAACAGTAATCCCCCATCGTCCAAACGGATATAATTGTCTTCTTCTCTGAAAGGAAAGACGAGCGACATTTTCTTTTCATGCGGGATCCAGACCTTACCTTGCCTTACAATTCTCTTATGTTTTCATTTTTCCTCAAGAAATAATAAAGACCTTCATTATTTATAAACGATGGGGTGGCTAAGATAGCTTTGATATAATCCGAATCCAGACAGGGCGATTGCTTAAAATTTCAAGTATCTAAGGTGAAAGAATATGCAGGCCTGTTAAACTAACATATATTCAACTTGACTGACTAATTGACTTATGATAATCAGTTAAAATTGTGCATACACCTGCAGGGGTTTCCACTCTCAGGTTTAGAAAATCTTAATTTGTGTTATCCACATGGATGCTTAGAACACGAGCTCCGGAAGAAAAATAATGACTCAATTTCCCCATGCCCACAATAAATAGCCAAATTAAGTAGCCAACTGTACAGTTGATCAACAAAGCAGGCCTCCCTCATAATTCTCTTGTGATTCTGTTGAGTCAAGATATTTTTACTCTACCCAGGAGAACTGCATGAAAAGTATAGATACCATATATTTCTGTGATTAAGTATGGTCTTTTGTAATTGAAGTAAATCTTTTTACTGGCAAATTTGTTTTCAGGGAAAACACTACCCCCCCCCCCCCCCCTCATATTTCTTAATGAATCAGGGTGTGAGAATGATAGTATAAATAAATTACCCTTCACAAGTCTTATCATAGAACTCAATTTCCAGGTAAAACACCAAGTGAACATGCCATTAAATTGTAGCGTACATTGTCTAAATTAACATGATGTCTTTTGTCAATTTAATAAGTCACCAAATTATCACTTTATAAAACTACAGTGGAATCCACTTATAACAAGTCCTGAAATAACGAGAAGTCTGTTACAAGGACACTATTCTAAAACGCATCGCTTGGTAAGCCAGCCTAGTCTAGATTATCTAGCCTACCATGCCTCTCACTTCTCCAGTGCAGGGATAGAGATCGAGGTCTCACCAGTGAGGGATAGAGCAAATGTGTGACTTGTGCAAGAAACAGACGGAATACACCACAAGGTGTGGATGGGTGGGGGGAAAACACAGTGGGCGAGTTAACCTAGAGCACTTTCTGTCTGATCGCCAACACAAAGCCGTCAACATGGCTAGCGCTGGAGAATGAAACCCGATTCGATTTTTGATCAAGTAAGACCTAGAGGTCATGTTGAACAAAATCATCAAATGGGGAGGTATCAAAAAGAGATATACAGAACACCAAATTCATAGATCAGGCCTACTTAACTATTTCCCTTGAATTTATTATTACTGGATCCCTAATAACGAGCCCTGCTATAACGGATATTTTGCACCGGTCCCCTCCCTCTCATTATAACAGGATTCCACTGTAATCTAATGATGTATTCAAATCTTGAAGTATAGCGTCAATCACTCTCTCTCTGTCTCTCTCTAAACTGCTTTGTGGGTGGTTGGCGGGTGCTCTGGTGTGGTTTGCTCCTTTTCCCTGTCAAACATCTATCATTCTGATCTCTCCTCCTTCTTGTTTGTGCTTGTTACTCTCTGGTAACGCCTCTAATCTTCGGCACTTATATGACCTTATTGTGTTCCAAGTGCTGTAAAACTCTTACTAAAGACTAAAAAAAACTGTTTTTCTCAGGCTTCAGGATCATGTGGCGGACAAAGAGACAGTGAGAAAGTCATGTGCACAGACCAAGGGCAGTTTTATCAAACCAGGTGAATCTTTGTGTAGTTTAGAAATGCTTTAACACTTTACCATCACAACTAGGCCCATATAGTAAAAACTCTTGCCATCAAAGGCAAAGGCATTTTAGGGAAAATCCAAAGAAACTGGGTGGTAAACATCACCGATTGGCGAGATGTGACGGCAAAGTGTTAAATAAATCATTTAAAACTGTAAGACCAGAACCTCCTATAGAACTTGCGAATATATATTTGTTCCGGCTCTTTATATCTGATTATGAATGAGCAAATGCAACAGAAAGCAGTTCATGGCAACTGGACGGACAGCTGGTTAAATGATGAATCAGGCAAGGAAAGGAATGACACAGTTTTAAGCAGTTTAAAGTAGAAATGATTTAAACGCCTGTGTTTAAACCCTACTTTTGAAGCTGTAAATAAAACCAGAGATTCAAATGGAAAACAAAAGACTAGGAAACATAAGAGGGCTTATTCGGTTTTGTAAGTACCAGTAAGCTCATCAAGACGTAACCATCTTTGCATAGTCTAGAAGAATTTGGAATAAACTTATTGAAAGCTTTACAACACAGAAGACTTGTGCAAAGTGTCCGATGGGAAAAAATTGCCCTCCTAAGATGCTCTAGCTTGTTTCTGTCCTGAATACCCATGCCTCTGACTTTGACGCATACAGTGCACTGGATTATGCACAAGCATAAGAGGCTTCTCCATTATAGTTTTATTAATTCATTTTTTTGTTCCTTTCTTCGTAGAATAGTCTTTTTGTTTTAGGTATTTCAATCTTACACTCTTTTCGCTGTGGAAACTTTGTATAATAAACCTGGGCAAGGAAGTTGAATGAATAGATAACAGAGATTGGATGATGGTCACCATGTACGCTCAGCAAATTCCTACGATCTGAGAATTTGTGCGAGTAGTCACTCTTTTAAAAACAAAGCGCATAATAGAATTTTTATAAGTTGACTATAGTACATAAGCTGGCATTCTTGTATTTTTCTCTCATTGATGTCGGTACACTCTAAAGACAACTGAACAGTGTTTTTGAGCCGGGTACAGTAAAACCTGTTTATGGCATCAATGTTTTCTTCTTATGATTAATAGTCGTCACATAGTCTTGTGATAAACTATAGTCTGTCTCCCTCTGAATGAATAAATACAAGAGTTAATGCACTTCCAGCTACCAGTAGAGAGTAACAGCATCCTGATAGAGAGTGACGGTAACAATTTTAGTAAGCGGAGCAGGTGCCTGAACTCAGACGTTAAGACAATGAGAAGATAAAGATCAAGTATACAACAGACAATCACCACAAGTATACAACAGACAATCACCACCATATATTTGTATATACGTATTAAGATATATTCTCTCTTTTATTATGGTAAGGGCTCTTTGGAATTAGCTGTGACCATATTACAGAGGTGGCTGTGTAATGGAGGTCAAATATGCAGGGAATAATAAATCATCATTCTTTTTAAGTACAGTAGAACATGTATATATAGCGGGACCATCCCTGCAGCAGGAACTTACCGGAATCCTTTTTTTTTTGGTCAATGTAAACTCAATTAACAGTGTTCGGGTTTAACGGGGCAAGGAAAGGCCTGAATATGGATACAGTGGGAGAGATCGAGCGAGCTGTAGCTGGTTTTGGGGGTGGGTGGGGGGCTGTAGGTGGGCTCCAAACAGGAAGTCAACGGTTAGGCGTTGCGATTGGCCAGTCCAATGATGAGTGAGGTGGGGCAGGAGGCAGTGAAAGATGGTGCGGAGAGACGCGTTATGTGAGCCACTCCAAAAGTGATGTGCCATAGCCTTAGGCCTAGGCTAGGCCAAAAAGACAGTAAAAGAAGAGGAGAGTGATTTTTAGGTAATTCCCCTTTGAATTCCTATAGTGGGAACTTGCCTACAGTGGGATTTTTCTTCTGAAACTTTAAGTCCCGCTATCTACGTTCTACTGTAGTGAATCGCCCTGCAGAGATGGTTGCCATGATGGGTTTCACTGTACATATAATATTTCAACGTCACTGATTCAGTCTGCATCGGTGCCCACTAATTCTGACAAATTTTGACCTTTTCCACAAGAGGAGAGCATTGAACTTTTAGACTTATGCTTAGCTGTTTGAGAAAAAATATGTGATTATTCTGAGTAGTGCCGGTACCTAGTCATCTGTTGGACGTTTTATTTTTTTCTGTGTTCCACCGTATCTAACAAACTAAATAGAGCATTAAAACCTTGAAATGCAATGATAATGAGGCTCTGTTTGAAAAGGGACTCCCATTTCTTTTCTTTCTGTTTTTCATTTTTCCATTTTCAATGGAACAAATCAACTGCTCAGTGTAAAACTGTTATACGACACTTTTCAAAATTGCATCTGGCGGAGTTGTACACTAAGCAATTGAAATGTTCTTACACATCATATAATGTTTCACATTTTAGTGCTATCTTACAATATATAGTTATGAAGTTATATTAAATGTATGACACCCGCATGAATTCAAACAGAACTTATCAGCATTCATACTCATACTGCGCATGTTCATTAGTTTCACTAGTGGCAACATTTATCTTTAAAATACTGTGACGTCCACTTAAATCGAACACGGTTCATCTGGAAGCATCGGTAGAATGGGAAAAAAAAAGAAAATTACCTATTATTTCCCTTCTGTTTGAGCAACCTTTCTAAACTGAAAACCCAGCTCAACCGAAGAAAATACTGCAGTCCAACTGATTTCGGTTTAGCGGACCTCACTGTATATTTAAAAAAAAAGTTTAATAAGAGTAGTGACTTATTGATGTGCTCACTAGAGAGTTGTTTGACCAGGAAGGGGGGGGGGGGGGGGGAGAGGGGGTGAATGTACACCGAAGTTTTTTTCTGTTGCAGATTTACTTTTTGTTTTTATAACTCTGTAATCTACTGTGCTTTGACATTGTAGTAGGAACTTATTTTTAAAAACTAGTCACGGTACTTTGTTATTTTCATTCTCTGCATGATCTCAGGAAAAGCGCTAATACATAATAATATGTAATAAGCATGTTCATATTGTAGACCTAACATTAATCCCTCACATGAAATAATTTTAGAGTTAACCTTCGAAATAAAACCCTAAGCATGAGTAAGATTTTTTTTTTTTAACCATAGTCTTTTAACTCTGTAACTGTATCACGCCTTGCGCTGTCATTAGGATTTTCTATCAGCTGAAAACTTGGGAAGACAGTAATGACTCAGTAATGAGTAAAAGAGGACAATGGAAAAGGTTTCCACGAGCCTCTTCACGATTATTTCACAGAAAAAACCAATATTGCGACAGAGGACGATTAACGGTATTTTCTGAAACCTTATAGTGAAAAAAAAAAAAAAAAAGAAAAAGAAAAAAGTGCTATCAATGCAACGACGAGGAAGGATGCATAATATGTAAAATATAAGCTTGATCTTTCTTCCATTTATGTCTTTTGATTGCAGTCTTTTTATTTTAAAGACAGCGTTGTGCTAACTTCTATTGAGCAGCTGTTACAAACTTAACCAACATTAAAATTTAATTTGGGAATCCAGGGTCTTAAATCCAATGTCCTTCCTCATATATATATATAAATATATATATATATATCCTTTGCTGCTCTATGTCAGTGTTTTGATGAAGGGTCAAGTGTTTTGTTTTGTCCATATATGAACATTGAACTTTTGAGGTATTACTCCATTTATAGATTATGGATGTACTGCATTTTTGAAGATTTTTTAAAATGATATGTTAGAAGCTTTTGTTCAAGTTTGTAAATGTGCAAATCACTGGCTTTACAAGTCTTTTTTTTGTGTGTGCATGCATGTGTGTGTTTACGCCTGTGTGTGTGTGTGTGTGTGTGTGTGTGTGTGTGCGCATGTTTGTGCATTTATGCCTGTGTGTGTTTGTTTGTGCATGTTTGTGTGTGTGTGTGTGTGTGTGTGTGTGTGTGTGTGTGTGTGTGTGCATGCATGGGTACCCATCACTTGTAGGAGTATTTCATTTAGATTTTGAAAAAAAGACGAGGTCTTTGTGGAAGTTCCACTTTCTTTGTTATTGTTTTTTCTTTTTCTTCTTCTATTTCACTTGTAGCCCTTCAATGCACGGCGGAATGAGTAAACAATTGCATCCCAACTGTGTGGTTTTCGAGAAGCTGATTCACGATCGAAACTTTCTCTATCGCAGCGCTGTAGAACGAGGCCTGGAGCCCCCCCCGCATGTTGACCCAATTTACAAACTTATGTACCCGGGGGCCACGCTTGCGTTCCCCCAGCAAAAAAGAAAATGAAACATTAGTAAATATCGATGATGATATCATCATATTATATCTTGTGTTGTTTGTGCTTTGAAGTGGTAGAAAATATTTTGTTTATATTTTGCTGTATGGAAAAGAAAATGAGTAATCCTACGCATCCCTGTATCCTTCTTTTTTTTCCCCTAGAAGTTATTGTATATCTCTTTATATATCCAATTAAAACTCACTGTGTGTTGGATGTACGGCACCAGCTAGTAGCCTAATGCACGATGCAATATGGTAAACATGATGCCTTTTTTCCCTCCTCTTAGTTTGATATATGTAAAGTGAGCTGACAAAATGAGTTACTTCTCGGATTCAAACCTTATGGAAATAGATACATCATGCTTATAAGTGAAGTTTCACAATTTATAAGTATGAAATAATAAGAGGCATGTTATACTTTAAAAAAGAGCATCAATAGAATATCTACTAATTTGACCTCAGTGTTGATTTTTTGCCAATATCTCCGTCCATTTGTGGATTGCGAGAAGGAACTCATTTTGTCAGCATGCCACACATATATACGGAAATACATGTTTTATTTTTATATATATAGGCTATATCATCTTGCATCATCCTGTAAAGAGATTTCTTAATGTCATGTGCATATATGGATGTTCTTATACATGTATTTTGTGTTCCTAATTGTGTAGAAATGATTAATCAACCCCGGTAACCAACTCTTTACTCCTCAAAATGTAAAACAAAGTACTAAAAGACATAGAAAAGAAAGTAACTTTGAGGTGAATATTCCAAGCATCAGCTGGAAAATAAGAGAGCATTAACATGTGCAGTTAATTGTGATCTCTATATAATTTAGGGGGAAAGGACTTTCAACATTAAAAAAAAAAAAAAAAAAAAAAGTTTAGACAGGTAGACAGGTGTAATGATTAAAATTTTTTTTAAAATTATAGATGATCTTTCTGTTTATGTGTAACAGAATAAATTTGATTACTAGTGCACTGTGTTTTTACTGAATTGTCCACTAGATGTGTTTTCAATCCCAACACAAATTAAAAAGTATCTAGTGTAATATCATTGTTTGGAAAGGAAAAAATGTGTAGAGAGTTTTCTTATTTAGAGCACATTTTGAGTAGAAACTGGAAAAGAGCACATGTATACCTTTTGCAGAAGTCGAAGTGAATTTTTACCTATTGCATGTTCTGCCTTCATTCTAGGAGGGGTTGTTGTCCCATTCTTTAGTTTGTTAAAATTCTATCAAAACAGAATTAGTATTTCTGTAGTATTATTAGTATTGATTTTACATTTATTTTTTAAAGCACTTATCACCACTCGATTAAAAAATATTTTTTTTTCGTGAAAAAGAAATTGTTGTTATGGGCTTTTGAACTGGTATCGAATGTTCCACTACTTTCCATATATGCCAAAAAAAGTACGGTATATTGTCCATATCATTTTGAGCGTGCTTAGTTCTGTAAACGGCAACAGAGAATTATGTTTATGTTTCCATCCAGAGTGACTCTGAGGCCGTTCCGAGTCAACCGGGACGGGCACAATAATCGCTACCGCAATCGCCAGCACCTGAGCCCGCATTGCGACAGAGCCTACACCCTCATATATCCCAAGAAAGAAAATCCCGAGTACACGGAAGTGGACGCGCGGAAAAATCGCAGGGAGAACAGTTTTGTGGATTTGTACGAAGTGCGCAAGAAAGTCAACGGGGAATTTCACATGCAGGTCGCCGCTGCGTCTTCCAGTGATGATTGATGGAGAGAAGGCAGAGGCGGAGACATCAACAGCTCGACTCGAGTGGTGAACGAATACACGGTCTGAGTGAACATGAGACTTACGATCGTGTATCAGTATTTTAAAAACAAACCTACCATTGGTCTGAAAGTCATTTATAATGGCTTCCCACGAAAGATTGTCCTTACAACACGTTGGCGGTTCTTGCTTACCACATAAAGTTTTCACTCCCATTCTGCTCCAATGACCAACATAATTTGTGCATTAATTTTCAATTAATCGTGCGACAATTGTACATATGAGCAATGATGAACTGTTTTTTTTCCCAACTACAATTTAAATCGTAATGTAGATGAGCTGGAAGACCCATGTACTGAGCTGAATTTTGTACATGAGAATGTCTATTTGAAAATTACCAACTGAAAAAACAAAAAGATCTTGAATGAATGGAGTTTTTACACACAGATCTTTACTAAACAACTCAAAAAAATGTTTATATTTATCACATTTTTTACAAATTTTTGTGCAACATGTTTGTCTCTTGACAATGTACAGAAAATTTGCCACATCAGAGTGATTTTTTATTTTTCAATTGCCTTGATCAGACTTGCAATTTCTGATTGCTTGATATATCAGCTGAAAATTTGTTGTATCTCACCACGGCCAGCCCTTCCCCTGAACACGGGATTGTGAGCTGCCTTTGCATTTATCATGTGATCTTGTCAGACTGGTTGTTCATCCCCAGTGCAATTTGTTTGTGAAATCTCACCCTCGTTTATGATATTCCACTTTCTTGTCATTTTAAACGCTAATATTTTTTTACACGAATTCGATATTTTTTGTTCTGGACTTTTTGAAATTGTACATAAAAATGATGTAATGTTTTATTCTATCCGCAGTAATGTATTTCGTACTAATCATTACTGTTACTACTTACAAGTCCCACCTGAATTCAGTCACATGTACTACGGTATCAGATTAGGCGCACGCGAACATTTTATGCAAATGCATCTTTTAAATTGAGAGGAAATCCCGTTTCAAATATAAAAGTAGCCTACTATTTAATAGTTGCCAAATGGTTTAGTATTGTGCAGCTCAACGGTTGGGGGAAGTGACATCATCAAAACTTGTGGTTTCATTCTTGTTCTCAGGGAAGAACATGCACAGGGAGAGGAGGAGAGCGAGCCCAAAAAGCGATGGAACCGGCCAAAGAAAATAAGGCAGAAGTCTCCAGAGCCCAAACCTTGCCCTCCGACCCTAATGGGGGTCCAAAGAGACAAAATTTATAAAATTCTACATCCTCACACGGAGTATTAGGACGCCTAATTTTTTTTTTTAGGGCAGGATGAAATCATGATTTTTATTCTTTTTCCTTATCTCGACTTTTTGCATTAGATCTATCATTTTCTTGTACAGTTCCGCAATAAGATTTTTTTTAGAAGTGTGAGAAATTCCAACTGCAGTAAATCGAATACTGTAGAATAAGTCGTGTTGTTTATTTTTAAAATCGATTTATTTTGGACTTTTATGTAAACATTCCTGTTTATCTTAACATGAAGCTTTTCTGTTGGCACTTACTTCTTGCCGGGGATTAGTTGTTGTTTTGTTTTTTCCCAACTTAGGACATTGACACATTTCAGTTGTTAATTAAGCCTTGTCGCAACTATTTCAGTATTATATTCTTCACAAATGACCAGTATTATAATTTATCTTCTGTCTATGCAGTTGAATCTCTCTTGGATCTCTGCTGCTCAAAGCAATACACCTGATTTTGTTAATTAATGCTACTCAAACGTTGGTGCTGGTTGAAGCGCGACTGGTTGAAAGGTACCTTCCTGGTTAGACTTTGGGTTTTTTTTCAGTCCCCTTAATTATTTTGGGTAGTTACAGGATGCTAAGAGCCGGCCAATATTTTTTTCCAGTTAATTGTGTCACGACATGGTGGAATCAGGTGCTCATCAATGTTTGGGCATATGGAGTTAATGTTATTACCTTAAAGCTTGTTTATATTTGTCTTGCTTTGAATAAAAAAATACCCACCTATCTTGAATGGAAGTCGAGATATTTGCGACTGAAGAAGGAGGGGGTCACCCGGTTTTGGAGGTAATATTAGCGAGAAGATGGCCTCCAAAGTCTGATAGCTTCTTTAGATTGGGAGTCTTTGAAAACTGAAAATTTACATATATTGGGCTTCTAATCAGCGTTTTGCTGTAAAATTCATATGGTAATGTGTTTTTATATGGACTTACAATAAAAATTCGATAAAAATTTACCAACTTTCGGAAAACGCCTGTTTCTCCGATTTCTGTATTTGATGAGCACCTGATTTCACCACGCTGCCTCACAATTAATTTATTTCCACCACAATTCCTTTCTTTTGTCCTTGGAATAAAGACTTTCCCCTCCACAATGCTACGTTGAAATTATTGAGCATTTTTGGCTTCTTTTGAGCCTGTTCCGTTCTGCACTATTGGCTTAATTTTTTTTTCTTGATATAGTCTCGCTCGCACTTAGCTCCAACAAAATTTTCATGATAGTTCTTTGTAGCTGTGTTCTAAAATGCTGATTTAACAATGAAGGAGATTTGGAGGAACCCAAGTTTGATGGTGTCATTTCTCTTACTCCTAGAAAAGTTCACCGACCAAAGTGGGAAATTTTGCTGGATATTGCGGTAGTTTCATTTACACATTTGTACAACAAGTTTTTTTTAACATACATTTTGTATAAGAATATTTTTTATGGGTTGTGCATTGTCAGTAGGTGTATGGTGTCACTGAATATTTTTAATGCACTTTTTTTTTATTGTTCCTGTGTATTCTTAAAGGTTCCTCACTAAATTTTCAGTTCTCTGACCTGACAGTATTTGTAAAATTTACATTCACTTTTTAATCCTCTTGTCCTTTAATTAAGTACGATAACCTAACTTGCTATTTGGGTCTTTTTTGGTCTCAAACAATTGTACAATTATTTCAACTGTTTGCTCATGAAAATTGAGATTAAGAACTATTTGAAAAAGAGAAAGATGACCAATTTTTCCTGCTGTGTACAATTGCGTGACTTGTAACTTAACAATAACAAGTGCTTGTATGTACTAGTACTCTCTAAACTATTGACTGGCTGAAATAACAATCAACGTTTTTTTTCAACTCCGAAATACTATGACGCAGCGAATATCTCGACTGTACCTTTTCAATATTTTATTCCAGGCAAAATGTGACAGCCCAGGAAGACCACAGATTCCACAGGAAATGCAATCACCTCAACATCCCCAAAGATCGCATTTACCCTATAATGCACCCAATCATTAAGAATTACAAAGTCCCGGAAGACGAATTGCCTCCGAGGAAACCTCATTTCAAAGTCTGACGGACATCACTGTTTAACACAACACTGTTGTATGGTGCATTATTAGGAGATGAAAACAGACGATGGAATTTAAAAAATGTGACCAATAGTGCTTGCATTATAATGAAATGATCAGGGCTTTTTAAGTTAGTCATTTGTCAATGTAAAACATTATGATGAATTTGCTTTGTGGCTGCCATTTGTTATTTCACGACTCCGAAACTTTTGATATTGATGTTGTCTGTAACATTTTGTGATAGCGTTGTATTTCTTCAAATGTCCAGTGACTATGTATCTCAATTTGATTGCTTTTTTTTTGTCGCACCTTTTTAGTGGCTGTAATTTATTTTTTATTTCGTCGGTATCTGTTTTGGAAAGTATGTATGTCATGGAATTTGTAGTGTTGAGATATAGTGATGACTGAACTCATTTGAGGTTTCCGTAAAATCTCATGGTTAGAGGCACAATGTGCTGTGAACCGTTTTATGCTTTTGTGGTGTTTTCATCATCGTTTGGTGAGCCTCAGCAGTCCATATCTTGCATTAATTATGTCCTATAAGTTTGATGATGATGCCAAGAAAGCCAAAATTCCCATGTTATATACATCATGCCGCATAGAATTTAAAGGTTGAGTAAATCTCAGATTTTTTTTTGTATACACAGCTTATCATAATTACATGCATTTTCTCCTACTTTGATTCATCGGTTAAGTTGAGTTGAGCTGAGTGAAAATTCTGCATTGGTCAGTGCTTTGAGCTTTCTAGAGATTAGATCTAGTCGCTAAATAAATTCCCATTATCATTATTGCACCTAAGCTTGTAACATCTACTGCCATTGTAAACGACCAAGACAAATTTCTCCCTGCGAGATGAATAAAGATTGTCATTGTCATTGTCATTATCAAATTGTGGCCTAAACTAAACCAAAGTCACTGATTCCTTCCCTTCCTTATCACCTCGTCCCCATGTGTCTACCTGCCCACTTCGCCCCGCCCCCGCCCTGCCCCCTGGCCTGTAGGAGTTGCCACACGTGGACCGGCCCCGAGCGGAACCGCCGCGCCTACGATCGCAGCCGGGAGGGCCCCAAGTTAGGTCAGTCATGGCGAGCCCTGGAGCGAGAGATGAACTTCCGGGAGAACAGCCTCAGCTCCAGCGTGTATCAGAGCCAGATGCCGGGCATGGGCTTCCAGCCGGTAGACGCAGCTTTCCCCAGGAAATAGAAGAACGATAAATAGAGCGATGACTTTGGCTGATGTTTCCCTCCCCTTCCGCGATGACTTTAGCCATGTTACTCTCTCCCCCCCCCCCCCTTGGGTGTTTGGATTTGGAGTATTATAAACTTATCTCATCAGTATCATCTGCCAGAAACAAAAATAAAAAACCCCTCAAAAAACCAAACCCATCTATCTATGAACAAATGCACCTGAAGGTGATGTTTCATTCTTCTTTTGTTCACATGATTAAAGCCACAACCAGCATTGCCTTATTATTTGTTTGTTACTCCCACTTTTCTCGCTGGGATCCTTATCAGTATTATCGTATTAATTTGTGAAATTTAGATAACCACAATCTTTTTTTTAAAAAGTGGTTGTACATCTGAAGTGCTATGAGTGTTAACTAAGAAGAGGGTGGAGCTGTGTTTTCTTTTCTTTTTTAAAGCAATAAAAACCAACTGAGAATTAATAGATGCAGTATATTATATTTACTGCTGTCAATCAAAAAATGGGATTTCTTGCAAAACTAAATGAAGAATCAAACTGAACTGGTGTCCTCCTTGTCTATTACATTTTTGTATTTCTTTATAACTGTGACGTCATCAAAGCTACAGCCCGTATCCGTGTTGTAATATTTACATTACATGGTTCAGGTCTTGCCATATTCTGACATATCTGTGAGGTATTGAGTGGTTTAAATTAAATTGAGTAGTTTTAGGCTCTGTCTTTCCTCGTCAGTTCAAACGTTGGTGTTTGTGCTGGACTTTCTTGGTCTACATGTTTTGTGTCCTGTGATGTTGATGCGTTTGGCAAAAATACATGATGTATTAATTATGATTCGGCCAACGCATGCCAAAAGATGCTGGTTGCATTAAAGTCAGTGTTTCTGTATAAGTGAAGAAAAGATATATGTAATACCTTGAATGATAATACTATCTGTCTCAAACACTTTGTTCAAAATTTTTTTTGCTCACGGTTGTTTTTAAAAGAATTTATTCTGCTTTGTTTAGTTTTTTTTTTTTTTTTACTGCTTATTCATTATTTCCACTGCACACTTTCCTATGGCTGTGATAATAAATATATTTTTGAAATAAATAAAAGCTTCTCTCTTATTTTTGATGAATTTATTGTCTGCGTCACCTTGTATCTGGATCTAACAAGAGAGAATTTTACAGTGTTAGTTGTTTAATTTTTTTCATTTCTGTTTTATGTATATTGAAGCCAGGATAATCTCTACCTCAGAATTACAAAGTTCTATCTGATATTTTTTGGCCGTTTTGAATTACTATAAGACCCATATAAGGACAGAAACCAAAATGTTCTATCTGCTCTATCAAAATTGTAAGATTGTGAGGAGTCGTTATCGAGATATTCAAAGAATTACGTTCGAAAAAGCTTGACATGTTGTGAAACTCAAAATTCTTAAACGCAAAATTTCTCAAAACTAGGTACTGAGCAGATAGAACTTTGTATTCTAGAGATAGCATGATATCTGCTTCACAAACATTGGTACAAGTGGTCCCTTTCTATGTTCCAGTCATTACATTTTTTTCTCAAAATCTCATGCAGTCAAATTTTACTTTTACTTTTACTCTGCTTTCTTCCAAAAAAAAAAAAAAAAAAAAAAAAGTAAGTGTTATTATGTGGAAAGGGACATGAGAGAGATGAAGCTCACTTGGAACGAGTTAGGAAGGATGGCCCAGGATAAAGATAAATGGAAGGAGCTTGTATCATGTGGCCTATACCCTGCCTGGGGAGAAAGGCGTTGATGATGACGATTATGTACCCATCGACTCAATGTAGATCGTTTAGAAGACAGGCAGCTTCCTTCCTATAAAAGGTAGCCTATTTTTAGATGTGGAACCAACAAATTTAAAATAGATATAATATATCTATAGATATTATCTATCTGTGTCAAAAAGGACGGCTGAAACCCTTCAAACAGTGCACACACGATAATCTTGGTTTACAATAACTTGACCCTATCCGTACGCCCTGGGGTCATTTTGTACCCACGGGGTTGTATTCTTCACACTTTAGAATACTTCTAGTGCGAAGATCTCTTTGAAACTTTCAGTATTTCTAAAAAAAATCATTTTTGACAGACTAATATACTCTAGGGAGGATGATAATAAGTTAAGCTTTTTAGTGAGAGTTTTACGGCACTTTCAACTCAAATAGGTCATATTAGAACTAAAGATTAAAGGTGTTACTTCTCACTCTCTCTCACTCTCTTTGTGATATATATTTATCCCCCCCCCCCCCATCTCTCTCACACACAGTCACTCTCTCTCCTCTCTCTCTCTTTTTCTCTCTGTCTCTCTCTCTTCTTTCTTTGTGATATATGTATACTTACCTCCCCCCATCTCTCTCACACGCAGTCACACATTCTCCCCCCCCCCCTCTCTCTCTCTGTCTGTCTGTCTGTCTCTCTCTCTCTTTCTCTCTCACACACACGCACGCACGCACACACATACACAGACACACACACCCCACACACACATGCACACGTATACATTATAAGCACTGTCTTTTCATTACGTAATCAAAACACTTTGAGATAAGCGTCATTGTTTGACGTACCATGCAGCGACACCCATATTTGTGTTACGACGCGCAGCAAACAGGCGCTTGTCAAATTTTGACCATATAATAATATTTATGTTGTCGCTTTTAACTGTCCCCAGAGAGTTTACAGTAATACTGTTACTGTAAACCCTCTCTGCTGTCCCCGTAGTTTTATGCACCCCGCATAATTTAGCAAAGTTTGATCATTTTTTGCATAATTTCTTAGTATTTTCCTTTATCATTCTTTGTTAAAATTAACAGAATCGCATAATTTCACATTTTTGGGGCTCAGTTTGCATGATTTAAGAAATTTTCATGCATAAAACGACGGGGACAGTTTTAAGGACAAGCGGGCTTACCCACATTTCGGGGGTTTCCCAGAAGTTTTGACCTACACCAAAGGTGGGCATTGCCCTACCTATAGGAGAAGTTTGGTTTCGTTGGTGTGTATATCGGTTATTACCCCCCCCCCAAAAAAAAAAAAAAAAAAAAAAAAACACACCAAAAAACCTCTCCTTTTCTTTTAAAGAAACTGAACAAGCGGCTAAAAATTTACCTTCGAATTTCTCAAAAATTTCATTTTCGGGATAGCCCCCTAGTGCTTAAAAGCGATCATTAAATATAATAGTCATTCATTTCGTCTTAAAGCTTTTTTCATTTGTCGTACATTTGAAGCAAAAAAATAAAAAATAAAAAATAAAAATACCCAACTATCTTGTATAGAAGTCGATATATATATATTTTTAATTGAAGAAGGTGGGTTTCGTGGGAAGTTCATCAGCGAGAAAATGGCTGCCAAAGTTTGAGTGTCGTTGGAAATGAAAAATTACGTTAATTTATGTGCCTTTAACAAACGTTTTACGGTAAAAATTTACTCAGAAATGTGATTTTAAAAGGACATAAAAGATGTTGAGCCCCCCCAAAAAAGAAAGAAAGAAAGAAGGAAATTTGAGCAAAATTGTCCAACGCCCAGAAAAATGAAGGTTTCTTTGATTTCTTTGTTTTGACGAGCGCTTGATTTCACCACGATGTCTCACATTTTGTTGACAGATAGTAGCGATATAAACTGGGCTTGAGCCTAGGTCGCATGTTGCACGTGGGAGTTACACTTTGAAACAAAGAAGTACCGCTATATTTAGAGATAAATGATTCTTTGTGTTCATACATTAACACACACACACACACACACACACAGACGTACACACAAATACACACACATACATACATATACATACACCCGAACACACACACACATACACACAGACACACACTCACATACATACATATACATACACCCGAACACACACACATTCACACACTCACATACACACACTGACTCACACACACACTCACATACACATACATGTACACACACGGGAACACATACAAAAAATACACACATACATACACACAGACACACACATAAAACATACACACACACACACACATACCACAAATACACACACACACACACACACAAACCCCCAAAACAAAAACAAACTAGCTAAAAACGCCCTTTCGGACAAAGAAGAAGACAAAGCCTTTTTTCGCTCGCTGTTACAAAAAAATGGAGAGATCAGCGCAAAACGTATCTGAGAAGCCAACAAACAAACAAACAACAAACAGACACCATAGTCACAGATGGATTTGAACCCCAAATACCCACGTAAATAGCTGATGAACCCAAACCATGCCGGTCAGACCGGCTCAAGAATTGAATGTACTTTTAAAAGAATTTAATTTTAGTGGATTGTAAAGAAACTTAGCTTATATTATGTACACGTAGAGTAGTTAACTCATTGATGCACTTAGATAGATAGATAGATAGATAGATAGACAGATAGATCAATCAGACCCTTACAGTTAATACAGGCAATGTGGCTTTTAAGTTTTAATGTTCACTTTGATAACCGCATGGCACGGATTTCAACAACGGCGTATCTGTGATGTAATGCGAAACATAGATATACGACAGTGTACGAAGGTACTCATAAATCATGTACATGTGTCTAGTTAGTAAGAACGTATAGTATAGACATGTGTGCATGGAGTGCAGTTGGAGTCCGCTTAAAGCGAATACGGTTAATCCGAAAATACACGTAGCCGCAAAAGGTTGAAAAGTACAGTATCAAAAAGTAAGTTCTTCATTTACTGTTGTGTTCTCCGGTGACGTTTAAGCCGTCGCTTTTAAGCACAAGAGGGCTATCCCGAAAAATTCTATTTTGAGAAAATCGAAGGTCAAGTTTTTGTCCCGTGTTTAATTTCTTTAAAAGACAAGGAGAGTTTTCTCTATAACCAACAAAATATACGCAGCAATGAAACCAAACTCCTCCTATAGGTAGGGTAAAGCCCATTTTTGGTGTAGGTCAAGATTTTTAGAAACCCCCGAAATCTGGGTTAGCCCGCTTGTCCTTAAAAGCGACCAATTTGTTGGCAGTCACACTAACTCAAACACAAACTGTGGCAATAATATGACAGTATCCACTATATTAATACA